ATTAACACATGTCCGAATGACCCGCCCATTTATCCATAATATCACTCAGAAGGCTGCGTGTGAGATGCATCAGAGCAGGTAGGCCCTCTGGGAATTCATGTTTTAAAACAATACGCGCGACACCGCAGGGCTGTTGTTTTCTGTGGACTGAAGTCCGCCTCTTCCGTGGCCGCTCTGGCTGTGAGCCACTAACAACAACACGGCTGTGAGCGGCTGTGAGCGAATGGCGCCGCGGTAACATGGTCATATAAGACCATACACGCCACTGAACTATTCTCTGCATGTTGGTCGTGTCTTTGCAACCTGTGCGTAACCTGTTCACGCAAATACACCGCAGAAGTGTCCGTGTCTCCTCCTGAAACTAAACTAAACTGAAACGCTGAATTAAAGCTGGGATACGTAAATTTCCCCCTTTCATTAACAGCTCATTTTGGTTGAGCCCAAAAGCAAAGGGTTGTGTGCAAATCAAACAGATTTAAGTACATTTGGTATAAATGACATGTAATGACACAAATGTGTCATTACATTTGATAATCTCATTCAACTTCAATTGGAGTGGATTGGAAATAGAATGTTAAAAATGCGATTAATCGTGAGTTAACTCACCATTTCTGTGCGATTAATCAACAACAAAAATTTAATCGTTTGACAGCCCTAAATAAAACTAATCTCAAGTTGGGGTACCACACCATACATCTAGTTTTCCCCAACAGAAAGAGTTTTGTTAAAGTATCTTTATCTTATTACAAATAACATGATTATGACATTCTGCTGCATACAAAAAAGGACTATACCAGAGATGGGAATCATGATTCCGATTTGTACCCTTAAGACTAGAGACTGGCCTCGGACTCGTCCCTCGAAACTTAGACTCACCCCGGACTCATTAAGATTAAGATTAGGAGACTCTTTATTCGTCCCGCAGTGGGGAAAATTCAGTAATGTAATTTTTTAATGGGGAAAAATAGAACAACTCTGAACTACCCTTGACAATTTTCTCACCAGAAATGTTCTTATCTTGGCCTTGACCCAAACTCATGGCTTTGGGACTTGCGAGTCTCTGGTATTGCTTCTCAGAATAAAATCTGTTGCGCCGCTGGCTTTCTCTCTTTCTCATTCTCAGTCTCACAAGTGTCCGAACAATACACAGTACTGTCTATTCAATTTGAAAACTCACCAGCCCTGACCGTGCATTGATCCAGTGAGAAAGCAGAGCCGCTTTAGGTGTTTTCACACTCCGCACGGCTCTGCCCGGTAGTATCGAGCTCCTAAAATATGACTACTTTGGGCCCTGCTAAAGCAGGCTAGGGCAGGCTTGGTTTGCTGTGAGCAGGGCTAAACGTCTAGAGAAATGTCAATGGGAAAAATTGTTTTAATTGTTTCTGATAAACTGCATTCATTTTAAGTTTAGTAAAGGAGAGAAATATTACAGCCAGAACAAGCACTGGGCATGAGCAAAAGATGTTTTACTTGATTACGCTTCATTTCAACAATTAGAAATGTGTGTTGGTTTCACCGGACTCTACAGACACAACATCAAGTTATTTGGATTCAACTCATCTGTGCAGAGGACAGCCCTCTCGCCTCTCAGCAAAAAGGTCACTGGAGTTTGCATGTTCTCCCCGTGTCTGCGTAGGTTTCCTCCGGGTACTTTGGTTTCCCCTACCACTAAAAAAACAGTGCCTTAAAAAAGTATTCGGCCCCCTTGAACCTTTCAACATTTCGCCACATTTCAGGCTTCAAACATAAAGATATAAAAAAAATATTTTTTGTCATGAATCAACAACAAGTGGGACACAATCGTGAAGTGGAACAAAATGTATTGGATAATTTAAACTTTTATAACAAATAAAAAACTGAAAAGTGGGGCGTGCAATATTATTCGGCCCCTTTACTTTCAGTGCAGCAAACTCACTCCAGAAGTTCAGTGAGGATCTTTGAATGATCCAATGTTGACCTAAATGACTGATGATGATAAATAGAATGCACCTGTGTGTAATCAAGTCTCCGTATAAATGCACCTGCTCTTTGATAGTCTCAGGGTTCTGTTTAAAGCGCAGAGAGAACCATGAAGACAAAGGAACACACCAGGCAGGTCCGAGATACTGTTGTGGAGAAGTTTAAAGCCGGATTTGGATACAAAAAGATTTACCAAGCTTTAAACATCTCAAGGAGCACTGTGCAAGGAATTATATTGAAATGGAAGGAGTATCAGACCACTGCAAATCTACCAAGACCCGGCCGTCCCTCCAAACTTTCATCTCAAACAAGGAGAAGACTGATCAGAGATGCAGCCAAGAGGCCCATGATCACTCTGGATGAACTGCAGATAACTACAGCTGAGGTCGGAGAGTCTGTCCATAGGACAACAATCAGTCGTGCACTGCACAAATCTGGCCTTTATGGAAGAGTGGCAAGAAGAAAGGCATTTCTCAAAGTTATCCATAAAAAGTCTTGTTTAAAGTTTGCCACAAGCCACCTGGGAGACACACCAAACATGTGGAAGAAGGTGCTCTGGTCAGATGAAACCAGAATCGAAGTTTTTGGCCACTATGCAAAACGATATGTTTGGCGTAAAAGCAACACAGCTCATCACCCTGAACACACCATCCCCACTGTCAAACATGGTGGTGGCAGCATCATGCTTTGGGCCTGCTTTTCTTCAGCAGGGACAGGGAAGATGGCTAAAATTGATGGGAAGATGGATGGAGCCAAATACAGGACCATTCTGGAAGAAAACCTGTTGGAGTCTGCAAAAGACCTGAGACTGGGACGGAGATTTATCTTCCAACAGGACAATGATCCAAAACATAAAGCCAAATCTACAATGGAATGGTTCACAAATAGACGTATCCAGGAGTTAGAATGGCCAAGTCAAAGTCCAGACCTGAATCCAATCAAGAATCTGTGGAAAGAGCTGAAGACTGCTGTTCACAAACGCTCTCCAACCTTACTGAGCTCGAGCTGTTTTGCAAGGAAGAATGGACAAGAATTCCAGTCTCTTGATGTGCAAAACTGATAGAGACATACCCCAAGCGACTTGCAGCTGTAATTGCAGCAAAAGGTGGCGCAACAAAGTATTAGCGCAAGGGGGCCCAATAATATTGCACGCCCCACTTTTCCAAATTATCCAATACATTTCGTTCCACTTCACGATTGTGTCCCACTTGTTGTTGATTCTTGACAATTTTTTTTATTTTTATATCTTTATGTTTGAAGCCTGAAATGTGGCAAAATGTTGAAACGTTCAAGGGGGCCGAATACTTTCGCAAGGCACTGTATGTACAATAGGTCTGGCATGCGCCTCCTGTTTGACGACCCCGCTCCCATATCTGTGTGGAGTGAGAGACAAGTGCCCAAAAATAACAATTGTAAACCGCTTTGTGACTCTGGTCTGCGAAAGGCGGTATATAAATAAAGATTACTTACTAACTTATACGTTAATAGTTGTAAAACGTATCGCTGTTGCCAAACATCACATCCTCTAAGTCTACTCTTTTCTAATAATAAACACTAGTTTGACTGATTTATTACAACCCTACTTGGATCTGAGCCTCTCATTAAGTTTGATGAAAAGAATAATATATTACAAAGACTCCTCATTGTGTCTCTTTCCCCTTTTTTCCCTCTAGTGCCTTTGCATTTAAATAGTTTTAATATCATGTAAAACAAAATATTTAATCAAACATTGATACTGCTCTACATTGATAAAAGAATTTTATATTTATAATTACCCTAACAGAAATCCAAAAGAGATTAATTTTGTTGCCCAACCCCTGGAGGTCACACCTGACGACTGTGGCTCTGACTCTCTGACCAGTGATCCTGCTCTAGTCTATATATTTACTGACAAGAACAATCAACATGAATCCACTGTAGCAGGCATTGAAAGGTTGCCTAAGTAATAAAGTTCTATATATGGCTGGGCCAAATATCCAAAGATGTGTAACCTTTGAAAGCTTAGATGAAAAAATAGACTTACTATCACAATATAGTAACATTTTGTGAAATCTGCATATTTTCTAGACCCAACTAACACAAACATGTTTTACTAACTATGTCTTTTCACAGTGTTGCAGTAATTTTGGATTCTGCTCTTATCATCATTACTGCCTATACAGTATGTGTCAAACCAAAACCCTTATAAAAACATGGTGACAACAAGGACAAAACTTCCCCCAAATCTAAAAATGCAATGTCTGAATAATCTAAATTGGGAAGTGAAAACAAAAGGGTGTTTGTTTGTGGTGGGAGAGTTTTGAGAGCTGTTTTCTTTGGCTTAAGTTTACGGTTGTGGCTGTTGTGCAAACACATCCCCCCTCTGTTCACATGACCTCTTAAGAACCCTAGTTTTCTGTCACAACTCTGAGCTGAGCACTTTAACGCAGAGTGTGTATGGGTAAAGATAATTTCTAGTTTAGATAGAACACACTTGTGGCAACGCATTCTAATGCCTCGTGTGGACACCAAGTTTTGCATATTACATACTACATAAAATATGTTACATAGTAATATGTAATTTGTGTAAAATAAAATATGTAATAAAAGTACAATCCAATTAACATTTGATCACAAAACATAAAGACTATTGTAAGAATTAAAAAAAACAAAGAGGAAAGAAATTGAGTATTAAGTGGTCTCCTTCTGTTCAGTGCAGCACATTTCTTTACACGGATAATGCTTGTTTCCTGATCTTCCGTTGTTCAGAGTTTGCCAATAAATGTAATTAGATCAGAGTTTATCTGTGCAGAAATGCCTGAACAATAAGCACATGGAGTTTCATATCCGACATTAAGGAAAGCAAGCTTGTGTCCTTAAAAGTGGAGGATTAAGACTGCTCGAGGGTTCACTGGAGCTGAACCGCTTTGAATGCTCTTGCCATGAACTCATCTTTAAGCTTACTGAGCTAAAACATCTGGGCCCCTTACTTTCTCTGCTGCAGCTCTAACCCAGATATGGATCTTCAAACTGAGGCGGGCTCTTAAACACACACACTCACCTCAAGGCTGATGTCCCGGGGCGCTCCACTGACTGGCAGCACCTGAGAGCGCAGAGAAGCACCACTTTAGGCACCGAAAACCAACAGCAGAGGCCCATTTGTCAGACCTGGTGCTAATGTAGCCCAGATGCCTGCCTGCCACATGGTACCAGCGCTGCTCTCCTGAAGTGCACACTGGGACTGTCTCAAAGCAGTTTGATGACAGGAGGCTGAGGAACTGGGGAGGAGAAGGAGATACAGATTTACCACAAGCTTAGAAAATAAATATTATGGATCTCATATAACACTTTTTAAGAAACTGTGGTTAAAGCTGAACTCATCATTAGGCGTATGCACAAGCAAGTGAATTTCCACTTGATGTTTTGGTTATCTGAAGGCCAAAGCTACTGGCACCGTGGCAGCTGCTGATCGGACTGTGTATGATTCCTTCATGGTATAATATCACATGCACACAGCAAAACTCGGTTCATGTCGTCTTTGTAACGTCAATAAAATGTCTTCTGCTGGACACAATCCCAGACCGATCTTGTCTTGTCTCATTTTCTACAATATCAAACAGCTGCATGCATTTAATAAAATGTTGCACTCTCAAAACCTGTTCAGTGACATCTACACATAAATGTATCTATCTCGTCACCAATTTTCTTCAATAATCTGGTCAATGGATAACAACCAATATGTAAGTCAAGGATACATATTTTGGACCTCCTGGCCCTATACTATGTAGTGTGTAAAGTATTTGACAAAAATAATGAAATATAGTCCTACCCACTCTTCTTTGCTATTTGCTACTATGATTTCCTATAACAAGCTGATAATGACCAGCTTCAACTCAGCCCCATTTGGCATATGGGCCAAGGGCAGCTTTTGGCGACATTATGTCATTGTAAATTTGAACATACTGCAAGTACCTAATTTGCCATATGACCCGAACAATGCGCGTGTGTATCTTGACACATAAGGGAAGGAAAAAAATGGGTCTTCCTGGATATCTCAAATATAACCGTCAATAGAACAAGAGTTCAACCAGTGAATACATTAAAAAATGTAATAAAAAAGATGTTAATGACTATGATTTCAGTTCAGATGTCTGTTCAGATGCATTTTTTTGAACTTCCCTGAGAAAACTGAAAAGACTTAACAATAATTTAATTTGACCTACTTCACAGAGAAGACAAATTTAAAAGCATAACAAATGTGTACAGTAATGATACTAAGTAAATGATACTACAAGCATTGATGCTGACAACGTTGACCAATAAATAGGTTTTGACAAATCACTACTAATGGAACTCGGATTAAGAAAGTAGTAAGACAGCAAAGGTCTGTTTTATCTTAAGTTAATCAAATATATTGTCTTTTCTGAGTAAAAAGGCAACAAGAAAATGTCTGAAACGGGATCAAATGACGAGGCGTAGCAGACAGGCACAGCAGGAGGCATATTACACTGTCAATGCATCTCATTAATATTGCTTCGGTAATCAGCGTATTCCACTGAAGGCCATCCGCTCTGCCCCCCACCTCTCTTTCCTCTCACTTTGATTACGCTGGTGCATTTTTTTGCCCCCTCAAAAATTCCCAAGAAAGATTGTGAGCAACAGGCGATGCTTCTATCTTCATTAGGTCGAGCGCTTACATAGATCAAGTGAAAGCAACAGGAGGTCCTCATGTCAGAAATGTTGCATCACATCAGTCCTGGTTCACCAAGTCATAGAGCACTTACGCTGACAGCCAGTCTGTTTCAAATGACAGTTTAGAAGATGTTATTGCAGAACTAGATCCAAAGTAGTTTAGAATGAAACTGGTGCTATGGGAAGACCATCGTTTCAGGCATCTTCATACTTATTCTTATAGAGCAATGTTTATATACAGTATATAAGAGGAAACCAGATGTTTATATAAATTGTGTAAAAAAGGAATGCATGATCAGATTTATATATTTTCTTACTGTCTGATAATAAACCTGTGACAATTACCTGAAAATGTGAGACAGGCTTCTTCTCTGACAATGTTCAAATCCAGGTTTAAACAGTTCTGTTCAGCTGTGCATAGAACTGAGGGATTTTATCTTCACTATTTTTAGTGTACTGTGATTATTTATGATTTGAATGCCTTGTGTGACTGTCTCTATCTTGTTTTGTTCAGCCCTTTGAGTTAAAGATAAAGGTGCACTTTATTAACCCCCGTAGGGCAATTCATCCTCTGCATTTGACCAATCCTGATGCCACTAAGGCTTACGTCAAAAGCAGTGGTTGCCGTAGTACAGCGCCTGGGAACCCATCTCCAGATGTTGATGCTCGGTTTGGTCAGGACTATACCGGAGGATTGACCTATTATACATGTTTTTAGTTTTTTTTTTTTTGTGGTAGGGGAAACCAGAGCACCCAGACAAAACCTACACAGGCACAGGGATAACATGCAACTCAGCCACCATGCCTTACGTATGAATGGTGCTATACAAACAAACAAACTTGCCTTGCCTCACCTCTTTAATTGCAGCATGTGACATTAAGCCCATAGAAACAATGTTGGTAAAATTAACAGATGAGAATAAAGTATTTAAGTTTACTTTCGGTTTCTGCTGTAGTTATGGCATTTGTACTTATAAATGCCAAATCAAATGGGAAATACAAAATAATTTAAATATGGTTCGTCTATGTTTGAAGAGCTAAGGCAGTATCATAAAAAGGCTTAAAATTATGCAGCTTATTACCAAAAAACAATCATTTACTATTACATGATAAGTATTACACAGAGGATTTGTGTCGTGTCCCAAAATTATATTGTACAAACCGATTCATTAAACAATAAGTTGATGTCATAATTTACTTCTGTTGTTTTTCTGTGTAGACGGATGAGCTAATTATCATGTGTTGCTGGATTGATGAGTTGACGATTGAGCAGCCTTAGCGCACAGACCTTGGGGATAGCAGGGAGCAGGATGTTTCTGCCACAGGATGGATGAACTCACAAACGACAAACCAACTCGCTCACAACCACCGCAGGAAACAGCACGGTGGCTTGTTTGACAGGAAGTCTGACCCTTTCCAACCTGCTTCCTCTTTTGTATTTGCCCCTTTCCAGCGCAGTGGCACCCAGCGGTACAAAAAACCCCCATACAATAACATTAATATTTGCTAGTTCTGGGAGACATTTGCGTGGCATACGACGAGAGGGATCAGACGGTGAGAGCAGAGCCAGTGCTGTTCCCAACACCGCACATGCTCATTCTTAAAACATGACACGGGTCTTGCCAAAATCATGAAATCTGAATCTGGACAGGCGCCTTCAGCAGGGCAAAATCAGTCTTCTGAAAGACTAGAGCTGATTTTTGATTTGCTCCCATGGCGTTGGCATTCAAAATTATAATGAGAAACTCTTTGAAAATGTGTTCTCGTGTGTGTTGTTTAGAAACAACATTGAGGAATATATTTTACTAAAAGTAGTGCCGGTAAAAGCAGAGGTAGTAATTGGTTGTATTCATGTTCTAGAATTCTCTTTCGGTTGGAGGGCAGGTGCCAATACAACTCTATGAGAAAGAAGACATTTTGGAATGAAAGGATTGAGTCCAAATGTCTTCCAAGATGATGATGGTGATTTGATTCACAAACCTGTTATAAACAAGTTACATTACTGTGAAAAGTACCAGAAATTGAACTTACAGACTGAAACCGTAAGGATGTGTGAATGGGTAAAATGTTTAGAAATGGGTTTAGGAGTGTTTAAAAGTTAAAAATTGTCGCATTTGTTTTGCATGTGTGTTTTTGGGGCCCCGCCTATAAGCTAATGCAGCTTCTTGGTAGTCCCCTTTTACAAAACACCTAAAAACTTTACAAATAGAATGTGTGTAACTTGTACAGCTATGAAGTTTTATAAATAAAGATAATTGAATTGAATTGAATATTATTGTGAGGTCTGAAAGTAATTTCTACTGAACATCACAAACCCGTTTTTTTTATATTGTCACCATTTCTAGACAGCTTTAAGATAAAAAAAATAATGAGACAATAGTTGGTATGTACTGACAAAGATGATGTGGAACTTTGAGACAGTTTTTGTTCCAGTTTTGTGGCCCAGGAATGAAGAGAAATTTGCGCTTAAACGTTACCATAGTTACAAGATTGTTCTGCTATCCTCAACACAATATTAAACTGTGGGCTCTTTGGAATGTTATGTCACATGAACAAAATCTTGTGTTTGCAGGAACTGGTGGTGCTAAATTAAACAATATACTTTTCAATTTCACACCAGCTTAAGCAAGGGTCTGAGGTTTCACTCCCTTCTTAACATAAACATCTATAATAGACTCCAAAAGCACTACATTTACCAGAGGAGCACCGACCGCAGGCAGGTCCAGGTTGATTTACAGTGTGTCCTCTCAAATCCGCTCTCCCTCTCCTCGACAGCCTCCAGCCGCTCCAGGCAGCGTTCCCATGCTCTTCCTGGTTCTCCGGGTGTGTTCCTGGCACCAAAATACAGAGATAGCATAAATAAATCACATGCAAGCTCTCAGGAGAGGGAATCTAGACTGGAGAAGGCTACAGGGAATACACGAGACATCTGGTAAGGCAAGATGACGTAGCAAAGGGCATCGCTAAAGCAAGTACAAGTTTAAAGATCAAAGTGTATTTTTGATGACAACTTAAAAGCACTGACCAGAAGGGAAGATCACATTTCTGTCAACCAGCAAAGTGATTATGCTCAGATGGTTTATGTGGCGTGATAACACATACTGTTAGCCCTTTCCGGCCCTACGGGGCAAACATACTCAAGTCCAGGCGAATTTATTTGAGAGTGTCATAATGAAAACAATTAATTATAGAGGAACTGCAAGATTTCTGAAAGAACTGAACTCTTTCTGTCAGTAAAATGAAGGGAAGAAAGATAAGTGCATTTACAAAATCAATACAGCACCCAAGATCAAGAGCAGGGGTTTGGGGCCAAATTTAAAAACATAAGAGCTGGTTGGGCCAGAAGCACAAAAGTTGTTTATTCTTATAATATTTTTTATTTTATTTTATTATTTTTCATTTTTGTCTTAAATTGACAATCTAACTGTATCTAACACAAATTTTATTTTCTACCAGGTGTGGATTCAACCACAACTGGGCCAATAATGTGGTTAACCCTTTAGAACAGATTTAATTGTATGGTTGTTTTTCTGAGATAATAGGCTTTAAAATGAAGAACAACATGCCATAGTGGCCCATCACCATCAACCCTGCAAGTTACTGTGATAAAAATATTTGAAAATCATTTTAGGGGCTATTCAAAATGGTTCGCGGGTCGGATTTTTGAGTTTGACAAGCCTGATCGATAGAAATAACCCTCTAAGGATCTTCAAATGTTTTAGAAAGACATGGATAAAACTTGTGTCTCGTGACTGCTTTTGGTTAGCAATGCACAGGGCCATATAACATGATGTGGAGAGCTTTAAACATTCCTGCTTTTTAGTCTAGACAGTACTGTAGTAATTTCCCTTCAAGTCAAGTAAAGTAGCACCAATGATGACTTTTCCTCATACTATTCTCTTCTACGGTATTAGATTTACTGATCATGAACATACAATAGGGATGTAGCGCATAAATGAAAATACGAGTGAACTATTTATGGAAATGATAAACTTTGAGAATGCATCGTATTCTACTGTAGATGAACTGTTTAACTCTGTCACCTCTAGTGTTTTGAATGTTCTGGATACCGTTGCCCCTGTGAAGGTTAAAATAGTGAAAAATAAGCAGAAGGCGCCGTGGGCTAAAGCAGACTCGGTCAGGGCACAAAAGAGAAAGTGCCGGAGGGCCGAGCGGAAGTGGCGCAAGTCCAACCTCCAGGTAGATTACGAGATCTTCAAAGATAAGTTGTGCGAGTTTAACCGGGTGCTACGTAGTACGAGAGAAAGGTATTTTTCTGAAATGATTGAAGGCTGCAGCAACAATCTGCGTGCTCTGTTCTCAACAGTTAATAGATTAACAAACCCCCCTGTTCAAATGCCATTAGAGCTTACTTCCAAACGTAAATGCAATGAGTTTGCTAATTTTTTCAATGACAAGGTTCAAGGCATCAAAAGCGCCATTGTCTCCAATCCACAGATAACCATCCAACAGCCAGAAAGGCTCTCTGAGCTAACTCACTTTGCACCTGTAAATGATAAAACTGTCCAAGAGATAATCTCTAGTTTGAGCTCCTCCACATGCAGCTTGGATGTACTACCCACTAGATTTCTGAAGTCTGTTCTGAGCAGTCTGTTACCTTCACTCACACAGATAGTAAACATGTCCCTTCATTCTGGAATATTCCCAAAGGCCCTGAAAACTGCAGTCATCAGGCCAATGCTAAAAAAGAGCAGTCTGGATGCCACTGTACTTAACAACTATCGTCCCATCTCAAATCTGCCATTTATGGGGAAAGTCCTTGAGAAAGTTGTCTACCTACAGCTTACTAGATTTCTTATAATCAACAACTCATTTGATATGTTTCAGTCCGGCTTTAGACCCCACCACAGCACTGAGACTGCTCTCGTTAAGGTTACAAACGATATCCGGCTGAACACTGACGCAGGCAAAGTCTCAATCTTAATCTTGTTAGATCTAAGTGCTGCCTTTGACACCGTCGACCATGAGATCCTCTTACAGAGACTAGAGGACTGGGTTGGCGTCACTGGCACCGCCCTAAGTTGGTTTAGGTCTTACCTTGAAGACAGGAAGTACTTTGTGGAGATTGGAAACTGTGTCTCAGATCATATGGCCCTGACCTGTGGAGTCCCACAGGGGTCGATCCTGGGACCTCTTCTGTTCAATCTCTACATGCTGCCGTTAGGTCAGTTAATACGCAGAAACAAAGTTTCCTATCATAACTATGCAGACGACACTCAGATCTATGTCTCACTGACTGCAGGAGAACATGGACCAGTGGACTCACTCCTTCACTGTATCCAACAGATCAGTGAGTGGATGCAAAACAACTTCCTTCAGCTAAACGCAGACAAAACTGAAATGATTGTCTTTGGTCCCCAGAAACAAAGAGAGAGCGTCATCTGTCACCTACAGTCTCTCTCCCTAAAACCTTCAAACAAGGTCAGAAATCTAGGGGTAATACTGGACTCAGACTTAAATTTTAATAGCCACATCAAATCAGTAACATCAGCAGCTTTTTACCATCTAAAAAACATTGCCAGGATCAAAAACATAGTGTCTAAAGCAGACTTGGAGATTCTTATCCATGCATTTGTCTCCAGTAGGTTAGACTACTGCAATGGCCTGCTCACAGGTCTGTCCAAACAGGCTGTAAAACAGCTGCAGTACATTCAAAATGCAGCAGCTCGAGTCCTGACAAGAACCAGGAAGTACGACCACATTAGTCCAGTCCTCAGGTCTCTGCACTGGCTTCCTGTGGCTCAGAGAATAGACTTTAAAACAGCTCTGCTTGTGTACAAGTCTCTCCATAGCCTCGCACCAAAATATATTAGTGACATGTTAGTCCCATATGAACCAGCCCGGACTCTGAGGAGCACAGGGACTGGACTCCTGTTAGTGCCCAGAGTCAGAACTAAACATGGGGAGGCTGCTTTTCAGATTAATGCTGCTAAAATCTGGAACAGTCTTCCTGAAGATGTGAGACAGGCCTCCTCTCTGACAATGTTTAAAACCAGGTTAAAGACGGTTCTGTTTAACTGTGCATACAACTGAGGGATTTTATATTTTTATCTTTCTTTTTAATGTTCTGTGATAATTTATGATTTTAATGCTTTCTTGTTTTGTTCAGCACTTTGAATTGCCTTGTGTATGAATTGTGCTATATAAATAAACTTGCCTTGCCTTGCCTTGCCATGTAAATCGGCGACCGGTTAACCGGTGGTTGACCGTCACAGCGTTAACCGGTCAAAGCTGTCGGTTAAAAAAGAGAAAAAGGGGAGAGGGGAGGTCTCTTAATAACGCTATTTTAAGCCCTATTTGCACGATGTGACGAGCGGGTCCGTATCTAGCTGTGTGCGCCCATGTATTATAAACTCCGGGACGACTCTCACGCCGCACGAGCCACATATGCACACACGCACGCGCGCACACACACACTTTCCCCCTCTCCATACGTAACATCCACACGCATCATCTCTCCCCTCTGTTACCGTCAAAGTTGCACACTGGCGCGGGTCAGAACTACATTGGAGCTTACATTTACACACACACACATATACATACACACACACATACATACACACACACATACACACACACATACACACACACATACCGGTCTGTCGCGCTCCTCTGTGTCACGGAGCCCAAAGGATTCGCGCAAATACGCGGCTCCAGTCAAACCACATGGAACATGTTTGTGTTTATGGTCCTCGGGATCAGCTCCACACACATCACTTGTATTTAAACTTTTGTGAAGACCTGTGAGACGCGGCTCGTCACTCGCTGCTCTGACCATGTGAACGAGCCGTCGTTTGCTGCTAGAAAGTTTTGGTATTAACCCGCAGCACAGCAGAATGGGAAGATTAAAAAAGCAGTTCTCTGTGCGCAAAGGTGCCGGAGCTGTTGCGGGTTTGGGCGCCGCTGTCTCAACTCTGATCCAGTAGAACGCAGAGCTGCTCTTATGAAAAGTACGCGGCTCGAAATGGCTGTTATTTCAAAGAACGTGGACTATTTTAAACTACGCGGTTAACCGGTTTCAACCGGTTAATGAGGCTCGGTGGTCGGTCATGAAAATTCATAGTTTTTTACATCCCTAATCAATGCTTATATTAATATTGTTTAATATGAATTCTTTTCACAATATTAAATGTTTTGTTTTTCACTATGATGTGGCTTAAATGTTTGAGCTCTCTATGCTGCCAGGAAGACTACCGACCACTTGTGGAAGCTAATGAGGATCCTATACATAGTTCCCACAGACCAATGAATGTCACATGACCTCCTCGGAGACGCCATCTTTGATGGCACGCTGCTGTGTTTGTGCATTCCATTAAACAGAAGAATGAGAATAAATGTAGATATTCAAACGCAAATTGGAAAAAAAGGGCAACTTTTGAGCAAATAATTGTATATTAATACAATGGCACCACAGTTTAACGTGCTACGGACATGTTTTACATATTTGATCAAATTATGCAGCAAAAATTAACAAGCAATGCAAACATTTATCAAAAACTTTAGATTTAATACCAGTTGGAGCTCCATTTAATTATTTTAATTATATTAACAATTAATTTAATTAATGCTAATGCCACACGGACACTCTGGATTGCTGTTATTGTTTATTTCCGCGTTTTTGACCGTATGTTTTGGTGAATGGTGGGCAACTGATTTTTCCAGGCGTAAAGAGCAGTTTATTTTATGACACAGATCTTTTTACAGAAGCAATGCTGTTTGTGAACATTGTTTTAGCCCACCATAGAACTATTATTATCTATTTAATACATTTACGTTGCCCTCGAGAGCCTCGGACGCGACACCGATCCTCCTCATAATAAAGTAATCTAAATAATGAAACTCTCAAGTTACCAGATATCAGCATACACAAGTTAGTACTGAGTAAATTACGTCTGTCAACACATTATAAGATACGATACGCACCTGACACAAAGTGCTCCGAGCATATTCTTGCGTGTTTTGAGGGAGTTTCTTGCCTGTTTATCTTTGCAAGCCATAACCTCCGTGGTTGTTCTGACAAAAGCTTAGTCTTCTCACATTCATGAAGTCTAATGATGGGTATACTGTAAAATCCAAGTTTAACGGAACCTCCGGCACGATTTGAACATCCATTGACCCAGCAGGAGATGACCATTTTCAACTTTATCACGACATTAACACGTTTCAGCTTCTTTTTCTATTGTTTTGCCCACAGAATGCCAACACAAATGGCGCCGGGTCGGCAAATCCCCGTATGTAGTGACGTCATGTGGGAACTATGTATAAAAGCCCGTTTCCGCAACGTAAAAAAAAAAAAAAAGCCTACAGAAGTTTTGAGTTTTAAACTTGAAACTATGACTTTCTGTAGCCTTTTTTTTTTTTTACATGGCGGAAACAGGCTTTACTAAGATCTAAATAAATAAAATTAAAATAAATACTGGCACAGAAGTTAGTTGTAGTTTGTTGGAATCCAACACAAATCAAATTAACGGTGAACACCACACAATGTACATACGAGCAATATTCCATCTGCTGAAGTCCGACTTGGCACACTTTCAAATGTCATGGTACACTTTGCACTTACGTAGTGAAAAGGATTTGAGCACAATCATGCGGAAGAAATGTGCTCCGAGCTATTCCCGATACAGGTGCATATTCAAAAGTTAATGAGAGGAGTGGCGCCTGTAGACTATCTGTCAGATTCAACACGTTTTTCACGCACAAAGCACTGTACGACTCATAAACAGCCTAAAGTGCAAAATCCATCACAAAAGATAATTCTGCAATTATAAAGTATTTATAGACACGTTGGAATATAATTAACACTTCCAGCTGAGCCTCAGGGGTGATCTAAACTCATTCTCTGGAATCACATTCAGAACAAAGACAAATCCTCACCTGAGATTTGAATGTGGCTGCACCATTAGGATAATTCGGGAAGATTTATAAATAATATGATCAGACTGGAAGCATCTGGATTAACCAAAAAATGTGTTGTGAGGAAATGACTTGATTAGGCTGTTGTTAGTCCAGTACTTGGCAGAGCTCGTGGGAAAGATATTTGATTTATAGGATTTCATGAATTCTGACAGATGTTCAAATTCAACTTATAATTAGACAGGGCTTAAGGGAAGTATGTATTTTTTTATTCATTAGTCTGTTTAAAAAGACACATTTGGACTGAGGTGAAACAGGGAAATACACATGGAGACATAAGGGGAAAAAATGACCTACTACCAAAACTGATTTAATGGAAAGTAGGTAATTTTATGAGTGAAAAAACAAACAGGAATTGGTCATAAGTTATTACAGCTAAAGTAGGTTACTAGTGATATTCAACGTATGGGTTAAATCAAATGGATACATTTTCTTTAGGAGATAATCAAGTATACTTACTATCCCCAGAATTGTCTGTTTTGGGACTGAAGCAACTAATCAAACAGCGAAGATTTATAGTAGTTATAGTTGCTCATACTTTTACTTTGAACTGCTACAGCTCTGAACTTGAAGTTGTTCAGAGCTGCAGAAAAATCTTTCATAAGTCGTTCCCTCTGGATCTTTTGCTGCCTCTGTTCAGATGGAGATAACGGAAGAGGAATAGAGCCTAGTTCCTTATTGCTTGTTTAGGAAGCACCTTTTACTTTACGTTTAGATCATCTGTAGCCACAGTTGTCTTGTGGCAGACTGGCCAGTGCACTATGCATCAATTTAGAAGTGCCTTTATTATTCTAAAATACAACTAGGGTTAGTTTTAACGAGTAGTCGTTAGTTTTCCAATTGTACAAATAATCTAGAGGTGGCAAAAGTAATACTAAATGTACTTCAGCAAAAAGTATAGAAGTGATTTCTTATGCTAAAATGCATGTTGATTGTATAAGTGGCCGGATATACAGAATATTTTCTTTGAAACACTGAAACAATATAATTCTATTGTAGAAATGTTTCATAGTGGCAGAGAATATGACAACAAATATAACATCTAGGACAGTCTGAAGTTGATGGTTATCTGAACTTAGTAGCATGGCTATCAATAAACACCTTAGAAGAATAGCTAATCACTTGAATTCTTATTATAATCTAAGGAGTGGGAAATAGTATTGGTATTGACATTTGGGATCAAAAAGTAAACGGACAATGTAAACAGCCATCCGAATACATATACAGTACTGGTAAAAGATATGTAGTTATTTGCCACCTAATAATCCAATGAGCTTTATAGTGGCTCTATTGTTACATATTATTGCAGTAAATCAACACTTAACACCAGTATAACATGACACTCAGCACACCAGCATCATACCATCTGGTGTTCTGTTTTCATCTCCCTGTTGCCAACTTCTGCCCACACTGCAGCACAACTCTAGGTGCAAACTGTGCTTTTTTTTTGTTCTCCTTACATTTTTTATTATCACAAACCTGCACTGCTCACTGATGTTTTGTGCAGCAGTGCATCTGAGTGCGGGTGATTTCCGAGGTCTTTACTCTCAGCAGGACAAAAAGAGGGCCACATGGAGACGACAGCTCTGCCTTATCAGCGTGGATTAGCTGGCGGGAGGACAGGGGAACAGCGAGGCGTGAAGAGGTGGGGACTGGGGGTGGGAAAAAAACTCACGTAAAAAAATAGGCGGCTATGAGCGAGGGAGTGCATCATTCAGGGGCCCGAGCGAGATGGCATGAGAAGCTGGGCAGGAAATGAGGCGAAGGACACCTGCTGACCCCCACACTGCAGACTCAGAGCCAAGCGGGAAACAATTTAAACAGGCAAAACAGGGCGACTCATCCTCTTTCCATGTGGCAGAGGAGCCAGCACACCTGCCACAGCATAGAAGAGCCCACTCAAAACTAATAGGAACAATTGAGGTCTGGGTTTTAGCGGACGCAATTATGTACTGTATTGTATATTTTTTGTGGTTTCAGTTCACAAAGCACGTTATGAACAGGCGAGAAGAAAAAGCCGTTTTGACTCGTGATAATGATAGTCTATAATAGTATCAACGGCAAAAGGGTAGGGTCGGGCCAAAAAAATTTAAAGAAATTCATAAATTGCCATCACAACTTTTCCCAATCTTGATAATTGATGCGTGTGTAAAAAATGACGACAGGGTGGCTGAGTGGATAGCACTCCCACTTCTCTGCAAGAAGGTTATGGGTTCTGGAATTTGCATGTTCTCCCCTCGCCTGCGTAGGTTTCCCAGATCACCAAAGTCCTTGCAAATGGGGCTAAAAAGTATGGGGAATATAATGTAAAAATGTATGAAGATAGGGGTACTACTGTAAATCATAAGAAATGATGTAACATACATAAATCACTGTAGTATTTGTATCATGTAAATTGTGGCCGTTCAAATATATGACCGTTATCGAAGCCCTAGGAATTACACTATTTTGAGTTAAACATATGAAGCTTAAGCGCAAATTCAGACTGGAAGACTGGAGAACTAAGCTCATCGCGTTCAAAGTCCTCCTGCTGTTGGCCACAGCAACATCAATCAGTCAATCACACGCAGCTGCAGCGCCACACACAAATCCCCACCTGCAGCAATCAGGAACTGCCCGCATCTGCTTGGATGCGCAGAAGCTCCATTCAAGGAGCAGGTTCATTCACGCCGCAACCCTCCTCCTCCCCATCTCCGGCTTGTTCTAGGCCAGCTCTTTCATCATTCCCCTAAGAAAATATTGTCCTTAGTGTCATACTGTATGTGTAAATTATGTAGAATCAGATCACTTCCCAAACAACATACAATTCTAACATGTTTTATCTGTTTGAATTTCTCCAGATTGAAATATATTTATCAAACCAGGCACTAAACTGCAGGTGCAAAGTAAAATAGCATTTTTGGTTTGTTTTTATGCAACAAAAAAATCTGTTTGCTCCAATGTTAATAATTTTTGCACACAATATACGGTGAATTTTATGACATAATATTACAAGATAACATCACAGAATTCCTGCTTGTCCAAGTTGATTTCAATTAAAGAGCATTGACTTCCGACTGTAGACAACTATTTTCTTTTCACAGTGTGTTTTGTTCTATTGTGAATGGCTTAGTTACATAATATTGTTAGACTGGCCTCAATGTTATGTATATTTTTAAGTGTGTAATTATACAGCATGACCTTTTACGTACATATACATTAGGCTTCTTGATTTGCAATGATCTCTGAGAAACACAGCACAGGAAGCTCACGGCGGCTGGGCAGGATGGTGGCAGGATGGGGGGTCGTCAGTGTGAGGGTCACTGTGCAGGTGGAGATGGGGTCCTAACTGGGGGTCAGGTCCCAACATGTCCCTGACGCAGTGTGAACAGGAAGCTGCTCAGTGGGCATCTGGACAGTCCCATAGAGACTCTGCAGAGGAAGGAGAGCAGTGGAGCATGGAGTTAACAAAAGGCAACAACATGAAGAGAGTAAAGGGGGGGGAACACTTTGTCATTACACAGAGAACATACTTTTTTTCCAACTCTACTAATGCAACCAGTGCTCCTTCAAATACATAATCAAAACTGAGCTAAGGTACTTATACATTTTCCGTGTTCTAATTAAGACATTTTGTCTTATAAAAGTAAAATGTTGTGGACAAATCAGACCCAATAATCTTCAGCTTCAAAAATTATTAAGAAATAGCCCTGGGAGTCACTGTTTGACACTTTGGGCTGGGAATTAATTAGTTGAATCATAGGTATTTTGTGTGAAAAATCTGAAAAAGTAATGATAGAACCAAACTGTTTTGAAAGCGAGCAAGAAGTGAGATTTTATAATAAATTAACCTTTTCTGTAGTCTGAAAGTCTTTCATTTTTTTATATTCTCTCTCAAAACTCAAACTACTTCTGTCACAAGTACAGTATATGAGAACTTTTTTAAATTTTGCAAACGCAACTAATGCTTCTTCTAATGCCTACGCAGCACTCAAGTCACCACAGCAAAGTAAAAAACTCATTGATTACATAAGTCAAATTTAAGGTAAGCAGCAGTATTCTATGAACTCCATGTACTTAGATATGTCTTCTTCGATAGTTTGCCCTTTGAGTGACCTATTCTAGACAGACAGTTACTAATTTGTAGAATAATACGCTCCACGGTCACTGGAGAGAAGCCGTTCACACATGCATGACTTTCAGTGGAAAAGTAGATGGTTTTGAAGCCACAGAGCTGCTGTTGCTGCTGCTGGAACCATTACAGCACTAAAGGGGAACCCAGCTCTTCCTATGGTTTGTTTCCACATTAACTGTCAGTCATGGCGTCCCAGGCCGGGGGGAGTGCTACAGATGATGATTCCAGTGCTCCTAAATGAAATAAAAACATGAATAATGAAGATGTCGCCTCCATGTGTCGAACAGGGACCGAACAACCAGAAGAGATTTAAAAGCATATGCTGATGTGAGACTCGCCTCTCTGGGATATGTTTGTGTGGGAGAACATTATTAGAGCCTTATCAGTACAGTGGATTTGCATTTATTCATGTAATACAATAAGATGCAAGCATACCAAATAACACAACTATTTTGTTTGTGCTATAGGATTTATATTGTCATGTAGGCACAATCAATTTAGTAGTGGAAGCTAATGGCATTCAGGAGGGTTATTATACAGTCAGAACACCAAGATACTACCTGAATTCAAAATACTTTACCTTTTAAGTTGATGCCTGGTCCTGTGCTGGCCCCAAACTCAAATAAATGAAGAACAATAGCATTAGAGAGCAGCTATAATGAAAAACAGAAATGGCAAAAGTGCTAGGTTGGGTACTTAAAAGGGACAGTATGAAATATATGTACTTATATTTATTTATTTTTACATGTGTCCCCAAATAGTAGGTTTACAGGCACACATCATGTTTGTCCCTTTCTGAACAAAAGATTTAAAGTTATTACAATGGACAAGATGTGAATGATATGTATGTTTGTAAGTTTTTAACAGTTTATCCAATCACAAACAAACACCACCACACATATAACAATGATTGGATTTGGCTTGTGAACTTTATAAGTCTGCAGTATTTCTTTGTGAAGGAATGTAAAATTTCACATGTAAAATTAATTTAGTTTACTGCCATGGGGCTCGGCTCGACCAGTTAAATGTAAAATTACAAAGCGGACCAAAGATAGCTCGATGGAGCAATCAGAAGTGCTACTAGCCAAAAGCAAATATGCTAACGCTACATGAGGAGAGGAGAGATTAATTAAAATGGAGCCACTTGAACTTAAATAGACTTAAAACATTATATCTTTACTCCAGTTCACTCAAAAATAATGAATAAGTTGTGAACGTTTCCTTGTAAAACAGAAGAGTTCCTCACCTCACGTGGCGCCTGAGAGGTCCGCGCCACCGTGAGCCAATACTGCCCTCTACTGGCCAACACTGGACTTGCAGCTAATCTGTTTCATTTTCTTTCATGGGAAGAATTTGGAAGAAACATTTGGATTTAAAACCACAGTAACTTTTATTCGTTCAAAAACGAAAGCACAGTACTTAAAAAAACACAAATACAATAACCTTCATGTATATTTGCACAACATTTTGGAAAAGGACATGTTTTAATTCACAATGTCTGAAATGTATAAACATAATGTATACCATTATGTAAACCATTTTAAATTCTTGTAAATTGGTTTGGGTATAATGGGGCGCCTCGTCAGTCTTTTATGAACACAAAACATATTATCCCTGACCATTTCTTAAACCATGACACTTATATATAACAAAACATTAGTACGAAGACAGAATGCATCTTCACTCAACCCATTGACACATACGCACACATTATTCATCCAGAACTTTCAAAACTTAAAGAAATAAAAACTTTTTAAGACATACAAGTTGAACTGTTTTTATAGATGGTAGGGAGGAGAAAGTGGTGTCAGCTGTAAACAACTGCCCCAGATTATTTCAAGAGCTTATTCTCTGCACCTTTGGGACCCAATGCACCAAAAAAGCTGCAGTTTTTGGGTGTGACCAATTTCTTTAGCGTCCCCTTACATCCAAAACTCTCCCAGAAAATACTGTTACTAGTGCTCTCTCTTTCACACAATGCTAAGCTCTTCATTCAGGTCCACCAAGCTATACACAACATCTTTCCATACATTTGAAACAAAAAGTTCTTCTTGTTGAAATATTACAAATTCTCAGAGTTGTAGTTAAACAATTAATCTTTTCATGACAGAAATATAAACATAAGTCCCGAAAGTGTGTCCGACGCGTGAGAAATGGGCAGAGCTTTAGAAGGCTGTTGAAACGCTGATATGAGGACAGCTGAGTGTACCAAGTGAGAGAGACCAGGGGGAGGAGGGAGGAGGGGGGTCCATCCATGTGGGACCCCAGCCTGGACTCGGAGGATCAGTACTTTGGGACTTTGGTGTAATCCTCCTGCACTACGCTTTTGCAAAGGCACATGGAGAGGATCATCCCCAAAAGCTGCGAGACACAAAGAGATATGGTTTTGGCAGAACAGCTTGACCCGAGAGATACATATTAAATCATGCAGTTCACAAGGAGAAAGGCAAAGTGCTTTTCCAATCTACATGTTGGAGGAGTGCTTTTGTTAATATTATTTACTTTGTACCAATTTTGTACATGCATGTAAGGTATGTAATTTAGATAGATATAGATATATTGATTTTTGTAATGTCCCCACAGTGGGACAAATAAAGGTTTTTTTTAACTTATCTTTATGATGCATAGCAACCACACATAACCATTTATTTGGTATTTTTATGCCTTGCATATTGCTCCTAATTTCAGTAGTTTAGTCAAAATGTATCTGACCTGACCTCAAGATGTTTTTGATCATGTGAAACAACATCTCATAAGATATCTTATCTTATGAGAGAATCTTTACTGGTCCCACAGTGGAAAAATGAATCATTTATTATATATTTTAAGAAAGTTGTATGTTCCGAATGGGTAACTTAATTCAGTTTCCGTTTCTGTTATAATTGTAATTCTTAATTTACTTCTGCCATCATTGTGTGGAGTCAGTGAATGCAAAATACACCAACATTGTAAAGTGCTTTGTAGGACTGTGGTCTGTAAAATACGTAATATTAATTAATATTATCTAATTCATGAATTCAAGTTGTATGTAATAATTTGCAGAGATTGTTGCATAGTATGGCATTACAAAAATCTTAACAGAGGTGGTGTGGTGCGGGCCAAATAAGTGCAATGCCAACTGTGTGAAAAATAGGCAGAAAGAAAATTGCATCACATCAATTGTTGAAAGCCAAGCATTTGAAGCGTTACTTGTCTGCCAAATTCAACAGCTCCCTGGGGTTTTACAGTTAAGATCTTTTTGCTATGATAACATAAGCACGTTATGTTCACAGTACATCATATTAATACGTGTTATAGTTACCTCCACGACTGCCACACTGACACAGATTCCCAGAATAACGCCGCAATTTTCAAACAGCCATTTCTCCACACTTGTCATGCAGCCCTGGAAACACGAGAATGAGAAGAGATAACATTACAGTAAATACAATAACATGTTGTTGCTCATGGTGGGATGAGTCTCGATAAGTATTTTGGTCTGTCAATAGAACGAGTCAACAGTATGAGTGAGGAAGAGTTGAGGTTATGGTAAAACTGCACTGAGTCATAATATACTTGGGCAGTCAGTGTGTCTGCTCATCTTATTCCCAGCAGAAGTCCAAGCTCTTTTTGATGATGGTAAGAATGTGTAGGTAAGAAATAGGGCATGCCCTTTTTATAGTGTATTTCAAGCACACAATTAAAAAGTGTACATCACTGTAAGTAAGTAAGTAAGTGAGTAATGTTTATTCATATGGCACATTTTTACAGACCAAGGTCATCCAAAGCGCTTTACAATGTTCAAAGTTCAGATATTGTTCCAATCATTCACACACAGTGATGACGAAAGCGAGTCGCCGAACATCAAAGCCCTCTATCAAACACCATCCATTTATTCTCTGATTTATTTCATATTACACATGTTTTTAGTGGTAGGGGAAATTGGAGCACCTGGAGGAAACCGGAGCACCTGGAGGAAACCTACGCAGACACGGGGAGAACATGTAAACTCCACTCAGAAAGGCCCTGTTCCGACCAGGATTCAAACCCAGGACCTTGCTGAGAAGCAAGAGTGCTATCTACTCACACACCTGCCGCCCATTGTAACAAGAACAAAAAAGTGGTAAGAACACTGGTATTAAAAACAAAGAAAATTCATTGCTACTTGAAAATGAGGTTTCACACTTTCTTACAAAACACAAGTACAACAAAGTAATTTTCCTTCATTTTTATAGTGTTCAAAAATATTGTTATTGAATCTTTTCCTGAATTGTTCTATATTTGGACATTGCCGGAGCTGCTCATTTAAGCTGTTCCACATTTTAACCCCATGTACGGAAACACAAAATCTTTTCTTTTTACTGTGTACTATATCCTTTCAAAAGTATTTTGAAAGAGCCTCGTCATAATGGTAATGTTTATCAAATTACAGTTTAAGAATCAAACAATGAAGCGCAGAAAGGACTGTGTTTGTGAACTAAGCGGACATGAGCCGAGTCTTTTCCAAACACCACTGTTAGCTTTGGAGCGAGTTCACTGATGGAAGAATAACACTTTGAAGCAGGGTTGAAGAGAGCAGAGACAGAGGGAAAGGTTTCAAGCTCAAAGCAACACACACACCCACACGTCCAAACACACGCACGCACACACACACACACACCCACACACACACAGCTGTTGGTATGCACTGGCACAATACACTGGCACCACACAATAAGGACCCAGCCAAATTATGTGTGTGGTGTGTGGTTTATCTGAACGGTGCAGGCATGTACTGAGGGCATAATGACTTTCAGTTAAACAGATGGGAAGTGAAAGACAAGATTGTTGGACAATATAAATGTTGGAAGAAAGTTTTATTTCTATTTGAGAGAGATTGATGTTGCTCGCGTTGCCCAAATAATAACCAAACTAAAACTCAAACAGGTACGTTTTAGTTTATATATATTCACAATTGTCAACGTGTGTGTGTGTGTGTGCGTGCATGTGTGTGTGTTTTGTCTTGTTCTTAGTTCTGAATTGTCTGCCTAACTGTATCAAGAACGATATGCTACATCTCTGGGGGCTTATCCTCCCAGTAAATAAAATCGCAATTTCTTTAAAAGTTTGAGGTACTTCAATAATTTTTTTCTCGCGGTTATCAAAACTATTCCAGAATGTACTTATAACAGAGGTATTTTTTCTAATTGTAGGACTTGAGCTCCTTAAGGTGGTAAATCGTTTCCTCTTCACCTCAAATATATACAGAGTCATTTTAATCTCCATTTCCATTCTTTGTGCTAATCCTCATTTAGAACTACCATATGAGAGAGGAAAAAATCTGATCCACTCCGACACTGTATAAATAAAAGAGCTTTAATGCAAAACAGGGACTCGCCATGTGTTTCGGCCACGTAGGGCCTTCTTCAGGGCATTTATTTTTGTAACAGTAAATTGGGCTCTTCTTCCATCCAATGTTGTTTCCACCAACTGGTTTACCATTAAAGCTGGGGTACCTAACTTTTTTCCTTGTTGTTCGTCCTAACAGAAAGAGCCTTGTGAGTAAAACGTAGTGGACCAATCAGACCACAACATGCTGTCTTTCTCTTATTAGAATCTTTTTCATGAGAAAGATCCCCTATTTGACGCTGTGAGCTGATTGGCTGAGTGAGGGGGGACCTCTATTTTTAATTTTTATGTCTAATAGGTTGACCTAAAAATGTGACTGTGGCTTACGTAATCCACGAATCCAATCAAATCAACTCAAACTGTTTTGAGAGCGAATAACTAAATGGATTTTATTACATTGTTAATACTTTTGTGGCTTGAAAGTTGGTTAAAAACCCATCTTTAAAGAGGCGATATGTAAAATGTACAGTTCTCTAATAAAGTCATTACAGTCACAATTTCCCACTGCTGTCGTGTCCTTGGGCAAGACGCGTAACCCCACTTTGCCTGAAGCCCTGGTTGAAAGATCTCAGCTCCTGTGGACTCACCACCTGCAGGAGGATCAGTGAGGGGCTGGTGCTAAGTGTACTGGGTGCAGCTCTGACTGCCACCCCCCCAACCCAGAAAAGGATTAAGGGGAAGAAGATGGATGGACAGTCACAATCTCAAATCTTCCTGCCTGTGACACATGTTGCGCTGAGCACTGATTACTGATGGAAACCACCAGCTGGGTTTCAGCTAGAAACGGTACAAACTCTATTTATGAGTATTTTATTTTAATGTACCTGGTTTAATTTAAAGATGTGCCGCGCTACTTTTTGTTAGTGAAAAATCTTAATTTGAAACAGAGCTAAAACCAGCGACATAAAAAAACTGGCATCCCAAAGAGTCTCATTCTGTTGTTTGATTTGATAATCAGCCCTAACCCTAACCGTACACGAATTAACACTTGAAGATAATGCTCAGAAAAGGTCCAATAAGATTGGCACCTGGGGACACATATTTTTAAACTGAGTAAGTTTAGCTGTGAAGGCAGATGTACCGTGTCGAAGATGGGCAGGTCTGTGGAGAGGTGCTCACACAACCCCACGTCCTTCAGGTCTGTCCCGGGGAGGCTCTCGTTGCGACACGAGCACGGGTACAGGTTCAGACTGCTGTTCTTTATCTGCAGGTTCTCAGACCAGTTTCCCGGATTGGTCCATCCACAACACTTCATCTGCACACAGGCAAGAAAGACAGCACTGGAAGTTAGAAAACCTTGGTAAATACAGTAGGAAAAGAAAACACATGGGCTTGGAGAATTAAGCTATTTCATTTCATTAATAATACCTTTTGTTTGATTTGTAAAATGTTTTGAACTTATCATCAGACTCTCGTTATTTTATTAGAAAACATATTTTGCAGACTTGTAAGAAAGAGCCCTGTGAGTCACTGATGACACTTGGGCTGAGAGCTCATTGACAGAGTGACAGATCCTCTCTGTTCACTTTTCTGTCTGATACAGCAGATCTAAAAGGTGTGACAGAAGACAATAATACATGTAAGACAATAATACATGTCTGTTTTGAGAGCGAGGTACATGGATTATAATACATAGCTTTGAATATTTGGTACCCCAGGGGACAAATTTATATAGTAATAAAAACCATAAAGGGTTTTTGTCAGTGCAAAGGTAGATATAAATAGTTTTACATTATGAATATATTTTGACAGTATGATTACTTTTTTTTAAATATAAAGAACCAAAAATGGTCAAAAAGATTTTTTAAACTGTGGACAATTGTGTATTTATTCAATGTAATTATAATTACTACATGTGGGTTCAAATTTTAGAATACATTCAATCAAATGGTTTTTTTCTTAAAATGAGGTGTAGAGTTGATTTTCTTCAGATTTATTGCTGTGTGGAACATAAAAGATGACATAAAAGGGATAGTATAAGACTCAGGTCCACGAGTGCCCTTTTTGTTATTGGTCCTGTATCTGCAGCAGTGGTCAATATTTATGTTAAGCTGACCATCTGACCTAACAAATGCTTCGTTTGAAGTAAAAATGGGACATGACATGTGTCGACACAGTAGTGGTGAGACAGTGATGTGAGCAGTGATCAAATATATAGACACCGAGTTGAAAGTAACTAAAAATGAATAATTTTAGGGGGAAACCAACCAATTTTCAAATTAAATCAACCTAAATATACAGACAAAAAAAATGACAGTCAATTTATGGTACGGTCACTTTACTGCACAGCTAAATGCCTATTGTGTGTACTTAGGGCACTTTTATATAGTAGTTATTTAAAGAATTTAAGTGTACTTATTGCCCTTGTATATAGTAGTAATTTTAAGAAATGTTATGTGTATGTAAATATGTTATTTCTTTATACATGCCTTAGTCTATTTTTACTTATTTAATTTGTTTGAACCAAGAGCGAAATAAAAATAATTCTGTTTATCTGCAGCTGTGGATTATCATGAAAAATAGATTTCAGTCAATCTCTGATCTAGTTTGGACATGCCTCAAAAACATATGACCTTTGAAACAAATGCAAAAACATTATTGTTGTAAAATAAGAATGCCCTTTCACCTTAAGACCCTCACTTTGAATATTGAGCAAACAAATTTCTTCAGCGTAAACAGAGTTATCTAAAGTAGAATAATAAGAGTCACTTCTCATAATAACAGAGGACAGACGTCACTTGTTATTGCAGCCTCAGGAGGAACTTTGACATCACGCTCACGTTGGGTTTGGTTTTGATCCTCAGCCAGACCCGCTGATGAACTCACCGATCTCTGGATGTAGTCCCAGGTGTGCTCTGTGGTCCTGTTCTGACCGGTGTAGTGGACGATCATGCCCTTGATGATGCTGGACATCTCGTATTTCAGCTGGCGACACAAAACACATCATCAGACATACTATGTAACAGGTGTTTTCCTGTCGTGGCATTTTAGTGATCTCATTCTCATAACAAGTCAACAGATTATTGAGCAAAACCAGAAAGTCTAAAGGACATAATACATAGACGTAAAGACAGAAACAATCATTCATATTCTAATCTCAGTTCACTTCTATCTACTTTTTATATTATTAATTATGTATCATGTTGGTATGTATGTATGTATTAACTAAAATAAGATCAAATAATGCTAATTGAAAAAAACCTGTTGTTTAACATAGACTTTATGGTTGCTATTATTGAACAGCTTGTTAACTGTATTTCCGAGGCCGTCTTCTCCGGTGGTACTGCTGCCTGTGGTGGCTTATATACTGTGGCTCACATGCAGCCGACTGTTTATGTGTGAAAGCAGCAGCGGCAGCAGAGGAGGCTTCTTCAGAGCTGTGGCCTCACCCTATTCTGGTAACAAGCACCACCCTGGCCTCGTGGTCAGGCCTAAACACAGGCAGCTGAAACATGGACAAGTGCACCAATGCGCTGCAGGGCTAACAGCAGTAACAGGGTTTTTCAAAGGAGAGTCTTTTTAAATCCTGGGTGGATGGGTGGTTGAACATATGAGAAACTGGTCCAGGGAGGTGCCCTTGACTTGTTCCAGCACGGAGAAAGAAACTGAAGCTTTGAGTCACTGGTGGTTGCGTGTGAGTGTGTATGTCAGGTTGCAAAATGATGGAATTATTTTGTTCAATTGAATAAATCAGCTTGGACAGTCTGTTCTCATGCTTGTACATAATTAGTGTCTGTTTGTGTTCTATTCTTGTATTGTAATTATTTAAACAAAAATGTGATGTGACAGAAGCCAAAAAAAACTTGTAAGTGAAAACTAGTGATAGAACTAATCTGTTTTGAGGTCGAGGAACAAGGCCGATGGATTTTATTACTTTATTATTCAGATCTGGTTTGAAAGTTACCCCAGCTTTAAATGCCACTACTAATAATATGACCTTTTGAAACCTATCAAATCTAACTTTTGCAGTGTTACATTTATAGTTACATTTATAGTAACACAATACTAACATTAGGGGGCAGCAGCGTAACACCCTATAGCAAATTCAAATGCTGTCATTTCACTAGCCTGGATCTAAAAATACAAATATAGCAGTCTACAAGTGACAGAAATAGAATCACCCACAACACAGCCACTCACATAAAGTGTAAGACTCTCATAATCTTATATTGCCAGGGAGATTGTGTCTAGCATTATCAAATGTCAGTCTTTCCAAATACCATTTTCCTCTTGAAACTGAACCCAAGTTTAACGGGCGTCTTACCCGATCTCGTTGGAAGTAGATAAGGACTCCAGCCGTAACTTGAGCGATGAGTATGAGCAGCAGACAGGTGAAGTACTGTAAAAGACAAACAACATTCATCACATAAGACAGATGTGGATTTAGTTTTAATTACATCAGTTATGTAACTAAATAATATTGCTAAAGTTGCGGTCCTCTTGTCAATTATTCTATCGCTCATTGCCTTGAGTGGTCAGATTATACATAACAGGTTTGATACAATAAGAGCAATGTTATGACAGCTAAAGGCATAACATTGTACTTTTACACAAATCTGCTTTAACCAATACCAGTATGTTGCAGCTATTACTTAATATTGGTTCGATAATAACCAATGCAAAAATATATATTTCAGGAATGTTCAGTCTGCTGCACATGCACTCACAAAACAATAATAAGAGAAACGTCTTATGTCAGTAATTGTGGTTGAAAGACAAATCTTGGCCATAATCTTCTCAAGTCTTAAGTAACAGTGTGCAGCATTGTCCCGTATGACCTGCTTCAGTATCGTCTACGGTCTCAGTGGGGGAGCACGCTGCAGCTGCTCATTGTTACTGTGTGAAGTGGGTCAGAGTCACTCCTCAGTTTAATGCTCCAGAGGTCAGTCCCCCGTCCAGCTCCTGTCAACCCCCCACCCCCACCCCCGTCCCCACAACACATCTCAATATATTTCTCGCTGTCAAACTGGTCCCACCCACCCAAACCAGAGAGAGGGAACATTCCATAAGCATGATCTTGACAATGGGGATAACGAAAAAGTATTGTCTAAGACTTGAGAACATGTATGTGTCACAAGAGGGAAATTCCACTATGGAGGCCAAGAACAAAACACAAAATATGAAGTTAAATAAGGCAAATCACGACTTTTTCTCAACTGTTCTTGCCATAATGATAGCTGTGTATTGTATTCAGGACATGTCTATTGTTGAGGATATGCTACAAAGATTCATCTGAGCTTCAACCCACTTCAGTAAATGTACACAAAAACTGTTCAAGAATGCAGTCTGTACTTTTCACCATGGCGAAGACAGGAACGTGTTATTCTAGTGAACTATAATGGCAAACTTATGGAGCCAAAAAAATATTTTCAATCATATTTTCTACAGGGACAACTTGATAAGGAAAGAGAAGCACATGCAGCAGCCCAAACATTGATAGCAAGAGCTTAGACTGAAAATGCTGGAGTTTTGTGAGGGCTAAAATAACAGGCTTCACGATTGGAACAGGCAACATATGTTATGGACATTCAACTTTCTGATTGAAAAAACTCGACTTTATAAATGTAGCAATCGAGGCTGCTGTTTTTGTCATTTGTGAATAAACCAGAAATAGCTTGAAAACTCGAAACATACAATAGTCGTCTTGATAAAAGAGTGCGGGATGTTTGGTCTTATTTCAATCATGAGATCCTTTATTGTTTTAAATTTCAGTCTTGATTCATCAGTAACAGAACAGTAGGAATGAGTGAAAACAGTGACTGAACAAATAAACTACTACTACATGTGTTTCTATATTACACATTCTGACATAATTCAGATTATTGCACAGATGTAAGGTGACAGGGAACACATGTGGTTGGTATTTTTTTTAAATGACATAATATGAATAATCATTATAAAATCAAATAATAATTCAGCTCTTCTTGTTCACATCTACATACAGTATACTACAAGACAATCTTAGGTGTGTGTTTCTTACCAGTCCCAGGAGACAGCGGATTTCATAAATGGCACCCAAGCAACCGAAAAATCCCATGGCCATAGACAAAGATCCCACTCCAATCAGGATATAAGAGGCCACTTTCACCGTGTTGGATGATTCCTCTACAAGAAAAACATTTGCAATCAGTTAGGGAAGAACTTGCATTTTTCCTCATCAAAGTCTTTCGACCCAAAATGCATCCAGCTGGTTTTGTTGTCATATAAATTCACTGGCCCATAAAAACACATTTAAACAGAACAGATGTATAGATTATTTGTGTATGAGAAAAAAGGGGAGAAAGCAGTATCCATGAAGTGACAGAGAGGTTTGAGTGGGGAAAAGAAGCCCACATTTTAGTTTGTGAGAGCATTATCCGTGTTGGCACTGCACACTCAGGGCCCAGTTTGCAGATGAAGCAGAGATGAAGCTCACTGAAACGCCTCCAAACTAAACCGCACTGAGCCAAATAAACTGTGTGATCAAGAGCCATCTGATAGTCGAGATTTTGGGGAAAAGCTGCCCTTTTTGTCCCACTGTGAGAACATACTGGGTTGTTATAGTTGCACACAATTTAGGATAATGGGTGATATTAGTACGACCAATTTAAAGACACGCAAAGGATGTTAGCCTAACTATCTCTGGTGTAGAGATTCTCTATTTGGGCAAATGCTTCAGCACAAATAAACATCACTGACGTCATACAGTTTGTCTATGGATTACTAATGAGTTGCTTACTTAGTTCTATACATGTCAGCATTCATGTTTACAACTGTTTATAGTGTGACACTGTTTCACAGAGGGGAGCCTCTGTGAAACAAATAAAGTCTCTCTTCAGTTGAAGGTTTATGGTCAGGTTCACCCTAATGGTGGGTTTTTGGAGCGATAGTAGCTCAGTTGGTAGAGCATTGGCCTTTGAGCCAGAAGGTCGTGGGTTCGAGCCCAACACAAGACTTTGACAGACACCCTCTATCTGCTGTCGTTGCGTCCTTGGCAAGACAACCTCTGGGAACACCTGATGCCACAGTGGGGTAGCTGCGGCTGTAAAGTGCCGAACTGTCGTTCTGTCCGTTCTGTGACACTGTTTCACAGAGGGGAGCCTCTGTGAAACAAATAAAGGCTCTCTTCAGTTGAAGACACTTCACCCTCATTGCCTAGAATGAGTCTGGTGTGTATGTGAATGGTTGGTGGTGGTCAGAGGGGCCGATGGCACATACTGGTAGCCTTGCTTCTGTCAGTGTTCCCCAGGGCAGCTGTGGCTACAGTAGTTGTTTATCACCACCATGTATGGAGTGAATGAATAATAACATGTGAAGCGTCTTTGAGTGTCCAAAAAAGCGCTATATAAAACTAATGCATTATTATTTTTGAAAGCTTCTACAATTTGACCGATATTAACATTGTATCCACGTTGGAGACAAGAAAAAATAAAGTTAAAGTAAAAGGTTTTCAACAAATCAGACCACAAAAATATTAGATTTTATTTTAAATTTTTGCATACTTGTAAGAAGGAGCCATGTGAGTCACTATTTGACGCTTTGGATCGAGTGAGGGTCGTCCTCTCTGTTTCTCTTTTCTATTAGAAAAAGCTGAAGTGACAGAGGCCCAATAAATACATTAATATGAAAACTACTGATCAAAGCAAACTGTTTTGAGAGCGAGCAACACGTTAGATAGACTTTGAATAGGTAATAATGAACAATTGGACAGATAACTAGGCAATAATTAGATTGAGGCCATATTCTGAATAAGTCGTGCCTTTTTAGTCTCCACACATTATTGTCATAAGAGGTTCAGCCCGGCTCTGTTGCCTGCTTCCTTCACGTAGTCGCACTTATCACAGGAAGCAGACTGTGTTTCTCTCTCAAAAGAAAATAAATGTGTGGTTCAGCAGCTTACAAGGATATCACATCTTAAAAGGTCTCATATGTGACCACTAATGTCATCTCATCAATCCAACAGGAAACATCTACAAACCACTGCAAATGGGAAGTTTATCTTAGCAGTGGAAGTCAACAGGTTTACTCAAGTCATTAAAGAGAATGTTATTTTAGTCCTGTGTGTGTAAAATTGGATTTTCCTGCCAGCACACAATCGTAAATGAATAAATGAGTGCAACCTTGTAGAAATGGAAACAGCAATATCATCTTTGGCCACATACGACCAAACGGCAAGATTATGTAGTATACAGCATAAACAAGAACTCTGATCTGTTTTATCTAATCTGTATTATCTTGCTTAAAATTACACACATTTTTACCAGAGTCTTTTCATTTTCTACAGTAGGTAAATATGTAATTAAAATTTGTGTTTTTCATTCATATTCGTCACAAGGAAAAACACTCTTTTTCTAGACACTATGGTATTACATGTACATTTCTCCATAAGGGCAGAAAACTGTTTAGACTTTATTTGGTTAGTTAGATTTATTCAAACCTACAGAGCACAATTTCACAGATCTTCTCACTAATACCTTTGAAAAGTACTTGGATGAAGCAGCCTGCAATGTATAAAATGTATGGTAAAAATAGTCCTTCTGATAATAATGCATACTACTTATATAGCGCATTTCGAATCCATCATTCATTCACTCTAAACTGTGGTAGTAAATTAAATGAATAGATGCCCTGTAAAAGAGACTACTTTGAACGAATTACCAAAGATCACAATCTCAAAATACTTTCATTGATTGACCTCTATTTTGCCATAAGAAATAACTATACTGAGTTACACATAAATAAGTAAGTAAGCCAGTAATCTTTATTTATTATTTTTTAAAGCGCTTTGCAATTGTGGGCATTTCTCTCTCACCCCACACAGTGATAGGAGGAAGGTCGCCAGTACAGGAGGCACATGCCAGACCTATTGTACGTGTTTTTAGTGATAGGGGAAACCAGAGCACCCGGAGGAATCCTACCCAGACACGGGGACATACAAACCCCACTCAGAAAGGCCCTTTTCCAACCAGGATTTGAACCCTGGACCTTCTCGTTGAGAAGTAAAAGTGCTAACCACTCAGCTACCGTGCCGCCCACTTAATGTCATGCACTAACTTTGAACCTTCTCCCTAAAGTTGAGAGATAAAAAATTTGCTCATATAATGTCAGTACGAAAGCCTGGAGTGGCCCTACTGCTCTGCTTGAATTATAGACTTGAGCCTCAGCAAAAGTCTCTGATGCTGCACTCTAGTCATGTAACATGCCATTTTCCATTCAGGCCATTGCCCCAAAATAGTTTCCTTGCTTGTTTCCAGGAGGCTTTCCATTTAAAAAAGCCAACAATTATGGCGTTCTTGATGAAAGCTGGAGTGGAAGGACTGGCGACCTTTTGGCTACTAACATAGACTGAGATATGACTTGTACACAGATGGACAATGTAAATATTATGAGTAAGGAATTCAGAGTGATAAATCTAATGTATGTATGCAGACCAGGCAAACTGTTTCTTCACTGCAAATTCTGAAAAAATTCCCTGAAAAGAGGCCAAGTGAACAGTGTGTTTAGGTGTCAACGTGGAGGAAGTAGTGATTAAAGTAATAGTATAGTCGAGTGTAGCAGCAGTAGTACTGCAATGAGGCGAGTGGGCAAAACAGTTTTTAGAGAGATTTTCAGAGCTGTGGAAACAAATCTGTAATTCCTCCAAACCGTGCACTGACGTATGCACAGACCTTTCGGAGGATCACTTTGTTTAAACAAAAGGAAGGTTGTGTTTTGGCAGAAAGCAGAAAGATAAATTCAAGGATCCAATCCGTGGAGCTAACTGTTAGCAGAGCGAGAACAGCCTCCTTGTAAGTCTTCCATTTCCTTGTAGCAAAGAAGACGTAAAACAGTATGTATCGTAATAGCTGACGTTATTTAATGTTTTATGTCATAGGTAAAACTTTGTACTCAAAAGCATCTCTCAACCAACAACCAAGGTTTATTGTCTTTTTTTGAACGTGCCCAACATGAAAAGGAAGGTCGTGGTGACAATAGAACAGAAACATGGAGGAAGATAAACATTGTATTGTCTGTAGTAGCTGCACGCAGTAAACGCTTGACCTTCCAACGACACATTTAGAGGCTTTCAATTGGAACATTTGAAGAAGAACTACCTCCACATTTTTTTCAAGCTGACATCGGCCTCTAAGAGTGAACAGCAATCACAATTCACGATGGTTAGCGTCTAATAAGATGTATTTGCAAAAAGATTAAGGACCCTCTTAACATACAGTGTTCAAAAAGGTATTTTCTTCCATAAACCATCATATTCTTGAGGCTTAATTGGGTTTAGGTTTAGTCTTCATTTTCATGCAGTCCTTGTGTAAATGTGAACAAACCACACTATACTGCATGACAAACAAGCATTATTTGTTGGAAAAACCCATTGATGAATGGAGTCAAACTAAGGTCATGCTATGTTCAGAGTACAGACCTTACTTCAAAGCATCAGATCAAGATACATGATATATAACATTATATAAAAGTATATTAAGCATGTATTTGGGTTCCATGTCAAGTTCCCACATAATGGAACAAAGATGCTGTAGTCTGAATTGTGAGAAACGTTGAAGAGAAAGTGCACAGCTGCATCTGGGACACATACACAGAGCTTTCACAAAGATTTACTGAGTCACAAAGTTTCCATGTGTACACTTTTCAGAAAGACTCAAACTGGTTTTCATTTATCTCTTGTACACTCAATAAAAATACAAAACAGCGTATTGAACCCTCTCGTATGCAATCATAGAAGCTCATTTAACTGAGACACTAAATGGCTTGGCTTACGTCGTGACCTGTAACTAGTCCATTTTGTATATAACTATTATCTGCTGGAGCTGATAACACTTTCTAATTCTACTTTCTTGTTGCTCTATTCACATAAATATTATATGAGGAGACGTGTGAAAGTGAGATACGTGTGAACGTAAAGAGACACTCTGAATTTAGAGCTGCAGAGTGTGAATCTGTCATCTTCTCACACGACTGCATGTGTTGCGTTTTGAAAGGCTAGATTTAAAGATGAAACTTTCAATTTTTATTCTACTTCTTCAACCGGTCGAATTATAATTGTCTCACTACCTGGTAAGATCTGTTTTTTCAATCATTCAAAAAGACATAAAGTCTAAGTTTAATTCCATTATGGACCATAGAGGAGACTGAAGTAGTATGTAGAGGCAGGGGGAGTATGTGTGTGTCTGCATATGTATGTGCATTCGTGTGTGTGTGTGTGTATATTTTTTGAGTAGTTGAGGGGTTGGAGTTACTAAAAATAGGTAGAGTGCAGCTTTAAAACGGTATTTGTTATTTATTGAAGCAGGACTGTTAAATAAATGATGCATTAATTATAATAACAGTCCGTGAACGAATAATTACAAATATATTAGACAAAGTTAAATATAGCTTTCAAATGCACTAATTTTCTGTGACCTGTTTTTGCTCTTACAAGAGTTTTGGCCAACAGGGATACATTCCTCTGAAATGTGCAAACTATTCCACAGCTCTCACAAATCTGTTTCCTTTCTCACAGCTGAACAGACTTGGACTTTTACAGCTCACATTCTGAAGCGGCGAGGTTTAAAGACTTACGTAAAACAGCAATGAAGCTCTGGTTATCCAAAAGCACCCACAAACCGAAGCCCATGATGAGTGCCCCAAAGATCTGCAAACAGAGGAAAACATGATGAGTGGGTAAAGGGTCAAAATGACACAGGCTTTTGTAACTGGGCCAAAGAGGGTTATTTTTGGGGGTCACATCTGGGCTTCATCAAATCAGTTGGTTATTGCCTGCATCCAAATATCTCATTCCAAGCAATGTGCACAAGAAGAGAGGATGTGGCCCATTTACTATTGGCTTTTCAGCACAAGTACAGCTGTACCATGAATATACTGTACTTACAACATTTTCGATGCTGACAAGTCCGGTCCCCTTGAATTATGACAAATGTATGGCAAATTGGTCTGGAATGATGACTAAAGCAAAGTTGCCCATAATGCTGTTAGGTATCTGAACATCATTCATCACAAGCAAAGGTTGTTTTGCAGCTGTGTTTGAGAGAAAACTCTGCAGCAGTGCAAAATAAGTACTAGTGGCAAGCTAAGAATGTGCAAGTGAGTCTAAATATTTAGGTTAGGCAGCCCAAAAGGATAAAACAGGTGAGACGAGACAAGGAGGCAACTAACGTGAAGGATAGTGTTTCATTTTACACATCCATCCATCCATCCATTTTCTTCCCTTTAATCCATTTCTGGGTCAGGGGGGTGGCAATCAGAGATGCCACCCAAGTCTCATAGCACCAGCCCCTCACTGACCCTCTGCAGGTGGTGAGTCCACAGGAAGACAGCTGCTCTCTGACTGTGAGCATAGCCTTGATCTTTCACATCAATTACTGAATAATCTACATTATATAGCGACTGTGCAGAATTGTAATGTGCTGGGCAAAAACATCTCAGAATTGTGAATGTCATGTTATTGGTGGTGGCAGACTTTATAGACATGAAGTTAATGGAGATTAAAATGTATCACCTGTTTGTTCTAGGTTCAAATGCAAAATATCATGTTTCCCAATGAAACAGAAGTATATATATAGTAAGTAAGTAAGTAAGTTTTCTTTATTTATATACAGACTAGAGTCACAAGGCGGTTTACAACTGTTATTTTTGGGCATTTGTCCTCTCACTCCACACAGAGATGGGAGCGGGGTCGCCAGTACAGGAGGCGCATGCCAGACCTATTGTACATATATACTGTAGCTTCTCAGCGTAGGGCATTGTAAAATATGTTACAAAACAGTTATGGCAAATACATGTAACAGATCGACAGACAAAATATGCCATAAAGATCATTATACCTTAAATTATTTTAAGAGAAGAAAATAGTAATCCATAATAAGTGCATTTTATTTTTTATCCCTGTAAGTTTTTAGTTTTTCTCTGCACCTTCAGTAAAACTGTTATGGATTGTGTGATCCATTCATTCTCAGTGAGAAACAGCTCTTTGCTACATATTATGCTCTGGTCCGCTACAGTTATCTATGGCTAATTGATTTCACTTGCCCTTTATGCTACGCCTCTATAAAAGTCATCACAACAAAAGACAAGAAAGAAAAGGTTACTCAAACATGCATGAATCAATCCAAACACCACTTGATTTGAGTGTGCGAATGACAAAACAAAATGCTCTAAAATGTGTCAAAAATTGAAAAAACGAAAGATCGCAATCTCAACTCTGTTACATTACAAATATTGACATCTGACAATTAAAATCCACCAATGATGTGGTAGTAACAGTGGAAGAGGCTGAAGTCACTCGTTTGTTTAGGATAAAAACTGAGACAGTATGAGTTTACACTTCATCACTTCGCTTGGTGTGAAACTTGGGCAATAAAAAAATAATGTTTTTTTAATACCAGTTTTTTCTTCTTCTTTTTTTTATATATGTAGGAAACAATGAAAGAAGATATTAGGATTGGTCAATACAGGTGCGAAATTTGTGATTGATTTTTTTCCCTCCCCATATCGCCCAGTCCTAATGTGAAGGATCAGAAGTAGCTTTAGTCAGGGATTTATTATGCATTATGTGAAATTTAAGTTGTGAATAGGATAAACAACAATTATATTTGATAGTTTCCGCCGCCCTTATCCAAAGCAAATATAGCTTGGCTAATAATGCATTCCTTTCTGTAAAAAAAAAAGGTATTAGGTATTTTGAGCAGTGTAATTTAAAGGCTCTTGCTCTGGCTGTGGGGAGTCCTAATGCAGCTCAGACCAGAGATGAGAGACTGCGCTTGGACACAGAGCCTCCTCCTGCAGCGCCGGCCTACAACAATAATTAGGCCCCTGCTTAAGACCTGCACAGCTACCGACAGCCATCATTAGCCCACCACTTCCTGCCTCCACGGTGCAAAGTGTCCACAAGAACTCACACCGACACACACGCTTCCTATTAGCCGCCGCTGGAGAGAGCACTTCAAAGCCTGATGTTGGTTTACAGACTCAGGCAAAAAGGTCTGGACATCCCTGCACGATGTTTAGAGTCTGGGATCTGATTCACCTCTGACTTTATGTTGTGAGAGAGGAGGCGAGAAAAAACACAACATCTGCTGCTGGTTAGTGGAGCCAAGTAACGGGTAAGCCACTTCCCTCTGTGGCCGAGGGGATGGGTAAATGTATAGAGAGCGTATTGAAATGATAAAGTGGGTCATTGACATTTGCACAGTTAGGGGAAACAATATACATGTAATCAGGATGGTTTGTGGCATAAGATATAAAAAAATATATTTAAAAAGTGGAGTATCTCATTTTTAAACTACTAAAAAAGGAGCTATGTAAATAATCCATATAACGACCGTATTTTCCGGACTATAAGCCGCAACCATCTTATGTTGTATTACTGAAACCTAAAGTACAAATACTATTCTTATTACTGTAAGACGTGAGTCACAGGCTGCTCTTAATCCTCCAGTGAAAGCAGAACTGTAAGGAGCAACATCTACCAGTACCCTTTTCACTTTCATGTCCATACAGAGAATGAAAAAACAATATATATGATTTTCTTTGAGTATTTTCCATGTTGAGGAGTACACATGACTGATTGACATATCATACAATTGAATTACACCTCCGTGAACTACTCTTCACTTCTGTTGTTCTACCAATACCTGGCAAGATATTTCTGGCGCCTCAGAAAAAAATCATTTAATTTAAGAGGGGAAGAAGCTGCGGTTTATAGTCCGGAATTTACGATAGAATCAGAATCAGAATCATTTTTATTGCCACGTAAGTAACAGGAGGTCACAGACTAGGAAATTGCTTTGGCTCAGTGCAACAGTCAAAAAGAGATAATAAAAATAAGAATAAAAAACACTTCTAAAGAATAAATTTAAATTTAAAATAGAGTTACAGTTACTATTTACAATATACAAGTGCACATGGTGCACACAATGTAAGGTGTAGTTCTTTGTTCTCAAAGCAGTTTGGTTCTATCTAGTGTTCACATCCCTGTATTTTTTGCCTCTGTCACATGATCAGATTTGCGTTTACAGACAGAAAAGTGAAAAAGAGATGCCCATCCTCACTCAGCCAATCAGCGTTCAGCTTAAAGTATAAAATTGTGACTCTTTCCTACAAAAATGTGTATTCTAATAAGATGAACACAGCATGAAGTGGTTTGATTCGTTCACAAAATGTTACATTTGCCCATCTCTCTTTGTTGGAATTAACAAAATGTATTGTTTATGAAGATAAAAAGGTTAGGTACCTCTAAGTAATATTTAAAAGAAATAAGTGTTTAAAATCATCAATAAAGCGGTCTACAGTCTTATATTTAATTGTAAAAAAAAAGAATTACTAACCTAATGGAAATAATAAATTCAATTCATGGTATTTTGGCAAGGTTTTGTGATTTATGTTTTATAATCCGATAAAAAAAAAAACGATTACTAAGTGGTTATGTTGAGTAGTTTTTGGACATAATTAAATGATCAAAATCACAATGTATAATCATCCATTTATGTCCATGGACTTTACTTACAAAAAAGAGCAGGTTGAAGAGAAACAGAAAGTACTTGGTGACCGTGATGCATCCTTTTCCCATGGCGCCAATTCTGGAAAAAATCAGCAGAGAAAGTATTTAGATCACAACAATACAAAGAATAAATTCACAGCGGAAATGACCGAGGAAGATAAGAGAATGATTAATGAATACAACTTCACCCGAGGTCTCGAAAACGCCGCTGTACAGACATTACAGTCAGATTAGGATAGAAACAAGACAAAACAATGTAGCCGGCCTTGAGTCAGTTAACTATGAATGAGGAGGCCGGCATTTCTGCACAGTTGGGTTCACAATTACCATCTTCAAAGCTGCAGCCCGCAAGTTTCTCACTCGTAACCATCTCTGTGCGCTTTAAATACTTCTTTTACAAGACAACAACAGGCTCATTCATACATTACAGGCACAATAAAGACTGGAGGCCATCTTTGTGACGACATGAATATTGTTTAGTGATGGAGGAGCCGCCCTGTGTAGAAGATACAGGAGGAGGTTAGCAACAGCAATAACGTTAATATAGTATACTATTAGTTCTGTCGCAAAAGACGCCCTGTTGTTAAAGCTGGGGTACCTAACTTTCAAACCTTTCAAGACTTGAACGATAAAATCCATGTAACCAGTTTCTCACTCTGAAAACAGTTTGCTTCATCATTGTTTTCTGATAAACTTGAAAATAGCCTGATGTGGTCTTATCTATCTCTGTTGGGACAAACCACATTTATTATTAATTCATTCAAAATTTAAGCTAAATATAAGCTTAATGGGAGTAAACCGTTAAAACTGCCAGCAGCTTGTGTTCATCTGTTATTGTTGCAGCTATATGAAAAGTGCAGTATTCAACTATTATTATGTTTAAAGCTGGGGTACCTAACTTTAAAAACCCTTTAATGGTTTCCTCAACCATTTGGTGGATCACTATTTGAGTCACTATATCTACTTGAAGCTTGGAACTGAAATCTACGTCATCTCACTTGGTTTTAGGCACTTTTACCATCTTAACAATTTGGTAAAGGCCTATCATGAAAATGATTTTTCTTTAAACATAAAAAACAAATTATTTGTATTATTAGTGCTCCTACATCTTATGAAATCAAAAAAGGAATACATTACATTGCTGTCTTTAAGGAGTGAACATCAAAGGGTTAATCAAATCCAGCCAACTAGTGCCTTGCTCTAAAACAGTCTGGTTCTTTTCTAATGTATGTTTTGGCCCCTGTTACATCCTTAGTAGAACATTTTTTGAAAAGTGGATAAGAGTGTACGAACAAAACCTCACGATTACAAAACAGACCTCACTCAGCCAGTCAGCTCTCTGCCAAAAACCCTCAAGTAGTGTATGCAAAAAAAATCATGCTTTCTTGGAGGAAGACAGGATGTTGTGGTCTGATTGACACTTTCTGTATAGAATGTTTTTTTTTTTTATGAAAGTAAAAGGGGGGCTGGTGCTATGAGACTTTGGTGGCATCTCTGACTGCCACCCCCCTGACCCAGAAATGGATTAAAGGGTAGAAGATGGATGGATGGATGGATGGAAAGTAAAAAGTTAGGTACCTTAGATTTAATAGTAATTATAACAAACATACATAAAACAGACAGTACTTCATCACTATAAATGAATCACATCCACACTCTTGTATGATAAATCCAACAGTCATAGTGAAGCTTCTTGCCTGGAAGAGGACATGACCACATATTGGCGTCTGCAGCCTGACTTTCCTGTGAGCAACATTTTCCTTCGAGAGACACCTGTGGACCAGGCCAATGCCACACACTCTTTCTGCTGCAGGGGAAACCTCACAAAACCTGCTTTGACTTAAGTCAGTGTGCTCAAAATCCAAAGATAATATTTACCACAGTGAACCAAGCATTTTCCTCTGCTGCGTGTGCTTGAAATAAACCCAGCCATTGTGGTTATTGCTGAAAATATCTTCTTAAAACAACTCCCTGTGTACAAGATGAGAGGGCTGTCATCTCAGCCTCTGAATACGCTCACTTACGATGCAGTGCGCTGCTTGCTCACGTTTGAGATAGAAGTTTTGATAAATTTGCTATGTGGTTTTACGGAATGTTGTCGTGAGATTAGGATCCCTCTCATGGAACGAAGCCATATCAAGATGTGTTTCAGAGATTACACACGGAGCTGATGAACACAAGCAAACTCTATAGAACTATCATTGCTGCAAAGCCTCACTTCACTGGCAAATTGAAAACTTACAACAAAGGCATAAGTATGGAAGTTGTTGGAGCTCTTCATTCAACATGCAATTGTCAAATGGCTTTACACTTTTGTAATTTTAGCATTCATATTAGATTTGTATTTTCAATATGTAAATACAACATGTCTTTTACATTATTAATATTCATTTTAGATTTAAGTTTGACAAATCAAAATAGGCAGAATTTATTAATTTGTCAATCCACAGGAAGTCAAAGCAGACAGCAAGAGTGGAAAAGCAGCTGTAAAGCCAATTGACAATTTAATTGCATTTTAAAAATAAAAAAAACAAAAAACGTACATACATATGGTCCTTACACATTCTCGTTACTCTAATCAGAGGTGTGTGTAGCTTTGATGCTTCAGTTAACTACAATAGGCTTGAAATTACCTTTTTGTCACAACGCAGAAGAACAAGCAGATTGTGTGTTACTATAGCTTGGACAAATTAAAACCTAAATAGTGAATTATGAACTTAACCCGTTGCCAGGATAACCCCTTGGATATCTCTAGACACTAATCCGTAAAATAGATCTATGCTCTTTATGTCTATGTTGGAGGATGCTGGATTAAAGAGGGATTAGTTATGACCAGTATTGTTGATTGGCTAAAGAAAGACATAGGGCAAAGGTTCACACAAAACTGAATTGTACCACTAATAAAAGTAGTCCCAACAAAGAGATTGTGAAATGGCTTTAAAAGGAGATATCTTTGTCGTTGTATGAAAGCTATAAAGTGATCACAGTGCAGGACGGTTGAAATTCAAATGTGAAAAACACTGTGAAAAAGAGAACAGATATAAAATAAATAAGCTTTACCTCAAGTGTCACAATACAAGTCTATTCCATATGTTACAACTATGTAGAAAAGTACATGTTGAGTCAAAGGTAACTTCCCTATCTTTGCTTCATAAAAGTCCCCCCTGAGTCAGAAAACACCTGCTGCTGTTGGTGCGTTACCGTTTTTGCTTATGTTACAACACAGTATTTGGAGAAAAGATTAGAAAAAAGAACTATGACCACAGCAGGAGCAGCAGATGTCCTCAACGGCAGTGAGCACATGATCCTACTAAAGCTCCATTTGCGCGTCTCCCTTTAGTTGATCAAGCACAAATGTTATTATGTCAACTTAAAAACAATGTTATTAATAATAAGGGAATAAGTCTAAGGAAAAATAAATATCAACTTTGGCCTCCTGCAGACTGGATCACTGTACATCTATCTGCTGTTTATCCCAGATAACAGTATCATTCCAAAAACACAAACATGTATTTGCTCAAAGAAAAAAAAGAAAAAAAAAGAAAAAAAATATATATCTATCCCCATTAAACACTGGCTTGGACCAAGACAGTCCACTGACGATACAAAAGTGAAGGGAAGGTTAGAGGATAGATCACGCCTCTATGAATCCAAACCGATCAATCACAGGGCTCCCAGCGTTAGTCTGGTTAGTACCCACCCCGCAGTTTGAGAACCTTTGCAGCCAACTAATTTTAAGTCCATTCTCCATGACACAACCTCCCACCTTAACCATCACCCAACAAACCAAAGCTCTTAATACGAGACCCCAATCCCACATCAACATCTGTATCCATCTGTACACAAACACACACACACACACACACACACACACACACACACGCACATGCACAGACACGCACACACTATGGTTCTACGGTTTACAGTTCACAGAGGCTTTTGGAGAGAGTTAAGCAGCAATTCTGGGATTGGGAAAATGTTGATGAAAATACAGCATCACTACATAATGTTACAAAACACACATGAGCTTACAAGGACAAAACCTACATCTAAGAACCTAATTGTTAAGTATGTCCCTGAAGTCTCTAAACAAGGCATTGTTTAGTCTGGATTCAGTAAAGTGCGCAGTAAAAGGAATCTTCCCATACAACACTGATGGTGGCCCCAAGTTAAATGGTAGACTGATGTGAAAATGAAGACGGTTGAACATAATTAAAATCATTCAGACATGATTCAAGATGCAATAAGCTGCATCTACTTAAAGATGGGGTACCCAATTTTCAAACCACAAAACTTTTAACTAGTCTTTGTTCTGTCCCTGTTTTCAAATAAATGTGTTATTGGCCTCAGTCTCATCTTTAGATAACTTTTCACGACAGAAAAGTGAAAAAGAGAGGAACCACCCTGACTCAGCCTATCAACTCTCAACCCAAAAAGTTTTCTAACAAGTATGCAAAAAATAACAATTCTGACAAGACAAGACAAGACAGTATGATGTGGTCTGACTTTCCAAAATTCGTTCGCAAAATTATACTTGTATAAAACTATCAATTCCAAGTTAGGTACCCCAGCTTTAATTTCTATATTGGAAGGTCAAATAAACAAATCATGATAATAATAATTAATAACATTAACAATAACACAGCTAAAAAAATCAATCACAAATTATTTTTCATTTTAAAATGAGAACACACACAGGCTGATTTATATATAACTTATCAGATAACGACAAGAATGAAAGCAATGAAAGCAAAACCAAAAGTAGATCATTAACCAACTATTTATACTTTATAACCTGACTTGTCCTTTCCACTCTTTACTGGATCTTAAAAATATTTACAATCTATGCTTTAAATACACGCTATTAGAAAACGTGTCCTCGTGCCCGTCTCTCCCATCAGCGCAGTGTTAGTAAACTTTTAGCGTAAACAGCGTAGCAACACTTCCGGATAGAGTTGTACAAACTTACTTGTGTAGTGGTCTTGTTTGGCGGAGATGGTGGAGCAGTGGACGGTCCGCAGAGCTGGGGTTTAGTGCAGCAGTGGTGAGAATAGCCCAGTGTAGTGTGTGTGTTGTGTGTTGTGTGTAGTCTGTGTGTGTGGAGAGAGACTGTGGGACGGGAGTGAATGAGACGTTCACACCCCCTCCTGCGGCAGACTGCAGACAGTTTAACCCGCGGCTGCCCGGAACCGCCCAGGGACTTTATTTACAACTTTTGAATCATCCTTTAAACCTGCTTCGATACGCTTGGATAATTTAACTGCTGAGCCTGTACATGTCATTCATCTGTAAATAGTAAATACTGTAAACTTGTGCAATACTGGAATTTCCGAATGTCCACTGAATGTCACTTTATCTCAGTGTTTTTCAACCAGTGTGCCGTGGAATGTTAGTGTGCCTTGAGATGTTATTCCGTGTGCCTTGGGAAACACATTTTGATGATTACAAAGGCTGCAGAATAACATCAGTTTGAATCAGTTTCAGCTGGTGGTGTGCCATGTGATTGTTTTAAGGAAAAAGGTGTGCCACGGCTCAAAAAGGTTGGGGAACACTGCTTTAGCTACTTGAAGCATTTACTGTACAACTAGCTAAGAAACATAGCAGATACTAAATACTTGTATATTTTGTGTGCTCCCTGTGTATGTGTATATTTGTATGTGTGTATGTATCATAGCCTGTATGTATGTGTGTGTGTATGCATGTGTGTCTGTGTGTGTGCTTGTGTAAATTTGTATACGTGTATATATGTGTATGTATGTATCATAGACTGTATGTATGTATGTGTGTATGTATGTGTGTGCGTGTGCGAAGATCAGAAATTAGAGCTCTGTGAGTCACTAGACAAAATGCATGCAGGCCATAATGGATGCATGTGAAAACTAGTGATAGAACTCTTGAGAGCGAGAAACTAGTCAGCTAAATTCTTATTACATATTATTACATTTGTTGTTTTTTTCTAACCCTTTAGGGGCCAGAGCTTTTCCAGAATTATTATGTGAAGCAGACAAAAAGATGAGCCCTGAAACTATAAAAAATATGTAATAAATATATAGGGAATCATTTGTGAGAGGGCAAGTTGCTGTTCAGAAAGAACTTGTGGTACTTTTCTGCTACTTTGGGACCTTAGGGAAAAATGGAGAGAAAGTCTGACTCTTGTAATGAAAAAGAGTAATAACAGTAATAAGTGTAGATCATCATAACCGTAATCATCTCCATCATTAAATAGTCATCATAATAATTTAGCAATGAAAAAGGGGTAAGGTCCACCACAGAAATAATAAGCTTGATGAATGAACTAATGGTAATGTTTCGTCAACAGTAGCTGCTCTAAGAAAGACTGAATATCAAATTAAGAAACCCGTCTTGAGACCTGGCTCTTGGAATGAAATAGAGTAATGATAGTAATAAAAAACTCATAATAATCATCTAATAACCTTGATTAATGAATTGGTGGGAAGATACTGCTAACAAACCTCTGTGTGCTCTCTTGTGCTTATCATTTCCTCACTAGGTAGTACAGTACATTCTGACAAACAAAAAGTAAACTACAGTTTGTACTGATTTTGCCTGTAGAACATTAAACAGCTAAATAATTGACACCTGGGTTACAACGCATGCCTTAAAATTATTTTTCTATTCTCTACTTTAACTTGTTTGCACCGAGAGCCAAAGCAATTTCCTAGTTTGTGACTTCTTGTTACTCACTTAGACTTAAACTTAGACTTGTATGTGACTTAGACTTTATTGATCCACTAGGGAAAAGTATTTCACAATACGGGTGTAAATTAGCAGTTTTGATACAATCTGGCACATTTACAATTTGTGTACAACTTGTATATGATTGTTCATTAATGTGTGTTGTCCCGATCAAATACAAAAAAAAAAAAATATATATATATATAACATTAAAGTAACAATCTGAAAATAAGAATAATAGTCATATAATATTTGTGAGAATAGAATAATCTGTATGTAGGTGCTCAGGAATACACATATCTGTCAATATATGTACACATTTACAGTATAAATTACAGAGATAATAGGAGTACACATCTGATTCTGAAAAGGACTAGTTCAACAAAACCATGACCAAACCAGGTCAGAAGCAATAATGATACAATAACGACTATAAATCAACCTGCAAACAACCAGGACTAAACAAAACGTGTTGTGCGGTGTAGTCAACACAACACACAGGTCTGCTTCAAGCCTGCTCACTGGTAAGTTTGAGGAGAATGTATACACACATGGAATCACAGGCGGCTTGTTGCTTATAAACTGCACTGACCACACAGGGTTCCTGACGCACACAACTGCCCCTTTCAGATTTTTTTCAAGTGTGTTTGAGAGAGGAGTGGCAGAGTGTAGTCCAAACATGCACTGCAGGTAACCACTTTCAAATCCCCAGGAAGAGGTGATCAGATCGTCATGTTGTGGCATGTTTTACACACAACCAAACAGACAAACACAGCCCTAAACAAAAGCTTACTGAAGTCATGAGTTCTCGGCTATTGTGTGATGTCATCAGGGCCATTGATTGAATCCTACCAGAGTCTGTGAAGTAATAATAATGTGTGATAACAAGTGATGAAGATCTCTTTGTCCCATGACAGCCCCTTGTTTCTCATCAATGCTACTCGTTTCGTAGCATGCAGATCTGAAACCTGTGGTCCACTGTTCTTCTCCAATCGACACACCAAACTCATGACAACAGTTACTTTGGTTCAAGAAAGTTTGTGTTGTCATGTAACTCATTATGAAGCTAAAAGGCTGCAATCACTTTCTGTTTGTTATCAGGTCAAAGTGACAGAGGCACTTCTGAAGTCTGGCAACCGCCTGCCAAAACATGTACATCTCCTCACTCATAGTCAACATGTGGCATCATCTTTTTTGTCACTTCTGCTTATTAAAAGATTATGAAGAGCATTTTCTCTCTTCAATTCTGTATAAAGCCTTAAACAAAACAATTTACAGCAGGCAAACCCATTTTTTCATACACAATATACTTTGTTCAATCTGTAAAAGTTTGAAATTATCACAAGATGCTGCCCTACTTCTCATTAGAAAGTATGTAATCGTTTATACTAAGAAGGAGCCCTGTGAGTCACTATTTGACGCCGTGGGAGCCCTGATGCCCTGTTTTTCTTGTGTTTCTGAATAAGCTGATTAAATAAGTGACAAGAGACATGAAAATAGTGATATTCTACTACTTACATGGATTTTTTTTTACATAGTTCAGTCCAGTAATAAAGTTCCACCAGAATGGCTTCCTTGCTTGTATTACTGCTTTGGGAAAACTAGCCAATTCTAAGTATTCTTCATATGTCTATTTGAAGCTGCTGTTTAGACCCATAACAACCGTGAAGCATTAGTGAAGCAATAGTAAACAATAGTGATCTTTATTTGACTAAATAGTGAAAATCACAATCAATCTTTGAGGTACAATATTGCACATATATACACAACACACAATGCTACAACTTTGAGTAGTTTCTCTTTGAACAGTACAAATCAACAAATCCAACAAAGAATAAATAGCTCCATTTACCATTGTCAACATTTGGAATATACAAGTTCTAAAGCAATATTTAACATTTAAGTCAGAGGCTAGAGAAAATACGCCACAGTTTTGCCTCGGCCCTCTCCTAAAATAACCCTCTACTTTGAACAGTTCACATGGGCTGACGATTGGAGGCCTAGTATTGACAGAAAGAAACTTAAGGACATTTTCCATAATTACTATGCAAGCCGCTGCACAGCATTGGGCTCAGTCTGTATGAAGCATCACTCGAATGTAATTAAACACTGTAAAAAGGATAATGACTATGTTTCGGAGACCTCACCCATGTTTCATGTGTCCCATCTTAAACTCGGAGCGCACCCATGTTAAACAGCACATCTGCAGGAGCGCTGGACGGTATAGAACCCACAATCAGCCCGACCTCAGGACTACTCCCTTCTTGGGCAGAGCAGCTATATGGTGATTTGGAATGGGCAGGACCACCTTTAAAAAGAGAATGTTTGACCTACTTTGTTCTGATTTAGTCGCAACATGAAACAAGGTCATTGCAAAAAACGTTGTCCTCACCTGAAATGACTATCATTAAATTTGAAGAAATTTCAGAGCTTTAAAATGTTCATAATGTGTAATACTTTTTTCTAGTGTCATAGAGAACTTTACAGCAAATCCAAGCACAAAAAATGGGCATTAAACGCACACAATTATTGGCGTTTTGAAAAGTTAGAAAAGACAGTCATTCATTCTTAGAGAATTTGAGTTTTCAAATTTTCAGATCAGTGACAATGGTGTTCCCTGCTCGTCTCAGTGGAGTCAAATAAGCAAAGTAAAACCTTTATTGGAAAAGTTATGGGCGGCAAACTGATATCATGTCCAAAAAGATGCATTTGTTATATAGTTGAGGGGTGTGTATCAAAGCCAGGACAACATACACCTGAAAAAAAAATAGTTGCACCAAATTCATAGTTTTTTTTGTCAAGTTGAACAAATGTAGGCCTGAAATGGTCCAAATTACAGTTTTCTACTTTATGATGTATGCTTACTCACTCACACAATTGAAGCAATCTTCTTGACCGGATAACATTACATGCGTCAGAAACACAAGATTCAATAAACACAAAAGGGAAAGACTAATCTCCGAAATGCATCTAATACTGAAGTTCCTCATTTGCTTCACAACAATGCCACATGTTATGGCCAATACATTTATTTACATACGTACACGAAATATAATGCAGTGCTAGTGTGTTTGTGTTTTAAGGCAAACCTAGGAGATATGACGTACAAATGTGTGCTACATTTTCTAACTAGGGACCGGTTATTACAATAAAGGTAGTCTATTTGATTTAAGACAACTGCCGTTCATCGCTGGTACAGATTCCTATCCTTAAATATAGAGTGTATAATTGGTACTAAACAAACACTTTGGTACAAAAGATGGTCAACGATAAAAAATAATCATAAAACGTCACTGCATTCTTTTCAATGGGACCGAATCTAAACTGGCCTGTTTGTTTTCATGGAGGCAAAAGAGCTTATATATATATGTGTGTGTATATGTAGTAGCAAAGCAGAATCTACAACATATTGAGTGTCATATGAAAGCACTACTATGATTAACAGTGTTTAAAAAGTAGTCTGAAAACATTGTAATCAAATGATAAAAACGATTGCAGATGTAAAGTAAATTCTAGTCTTTACATATCAGAAATGGCACACAAACAATGATGCAAAACCAAACTGCTTTTGAAAGTACTTGAAACTGTACAGAGGAGGAATGTGTGTGTACAGATTAGAGCTGGCTACACAGTTCACTTGTTTCCGGAATAGTATTGTGTCATGGGTGAGGTCCTGGGTACGGAGCCTCCGACAGCCAAAGTAATGCCCCGACTCCAAATCAAAACACTTCAGTCCTTCTTGATCCAGTGTTGGTTGTCTGTACTCAAACAGTTTTCTATCCCTTTAGCTGGACGTCTGCTCACATCTTCTTCACCCGGCGGCCGAGGTGGTAGTAGAAAGACATGGTCACCACCAGGAAGAGCACTCTGCTGAGGAGGAGCAGGATAGCAGCGTTTGGTAAGATGCCCAGCTCGATCAGGGTGACGGAGGTGACTGGAAAGAGCAGAACGGAGCACAGTCAAGTGGTTATAAACATCAAGTCATCATTTGAACAACATTGACACCAAAGAAACCTCCTTAAAAAGATTTTGAGATCATTTTGTGGAAACGTATAAAGTAGTATTTGTGTGAGATATTACTGTCACTGTGTTGTAGATCACTGTAACCTAGGGTGGGGATTTATACATTTACTTCTTCCCACTCAACGGTGGGCTCCTCCCAAGCACATGAAAAAATATACATATAATCACACACATCATCATCCTACAAGACACACACACACACACGCATACGTACACACACACACACACATAACTACATAATATAGTGTATATACGTAAGTAAAGTAAATATATAGTTAACACAAACAGAAAAAATAAACTGTTTGGTTTTAGCTCAAAATAAACTAAAATAAGCTAAACTAAACCAGTGATTATTGACATACTGACAAGACACTGCCTTTTTACTTAATTTAAAGCTGTAGGATGGCTTTGGGTTACATGCACAATACAAATTAGCATATATCTAAATGGACTAATTTACAAAAAAAACAATAAGGTGTCACAGTTTCCTTTCTGAAAATTTAATTAATATATTAATGTATATCACTTATTAGAAAGAATGGAGACTTTTGTTATTTGCCATTTGTGAAGTTTGTCTGTCTCCACTAGAGGGCACTCCATTCCCAGATAACTTCAGCCAAATGTCTTTCTACAACAAGGTAACACAAGGATAGTGTTCTACTGTGCTTCTTTACTATTTATTACGAATAAGCAGCATATTCACCTAAAAATTGGACAGCAAAGTAGCAAGCTTCACTGAGCAGTGTCCACTGGAGGACGATTTTCTCTGCAGTGTAGAGACCGTTCCACATGATGAGAGATAAGCCTAGAGAGAGTTGACATAAAAAGACCAGAAGTGTAATGTTTCAGGGCATGGGAAACGAAACAAGACACAACAGAGGTACTCTGCAAAGACGACTCCTACATTTCTGACACAAATGAAATTGGCTTGTTAATTATGTTGAATACTTCTGTGGCATTGATTGCACGGTTGTTGATAGAACAAGCTTTTATTGCGATTTCTCAATTGTATCAGTTACAGAACGTGCGCCCGATCAGACTTTTGACCTGTTCAGTCCCGTCTGTGCGGCAGACCGGATGCCACCACCTTGTCCTCGATATTACATTGAAGTCTAGTAAACCTTCACCTTTTGTTGTTGGGAATCTACTCGGCCTTGTTGACATTTCAAAAAGATTTTATGTGAATGTTCCATGTTCTTCTTTGGCTTTGCTATGTGAAAACCATGTTGAGCAAAATCTTCTATTTAAGTAAAGAGAAGGTAAATAAACATGACTAGCTGGTCTTGATTGGTTTAAAATGGCATTTGATTTTTAATTATTGCGATTTGAATCACAAAAACCAGTCCTTTCAGGATCCTTGTCCCACTTTCTTGTGCTCTCCTGCTCTCGTCTATCTAAGTGACGACCTGTCTCTCAGAGCCTCTTCACTGTGCCATCACAAACCATATAATCACTATCCAAGGAGCTGACTCATGCTTTGACAGACAGCCCTGTCTTAAACCAAAGACATTAAAATGAGCGCTTGCATCCACCATAATTTCTTTGCAAGCAGGGTGCAAAGCACTTGAGCTTTAATTACCCACCTACCAAGTCTATTTATGAGGGCTGCTATACTGCACTGATGAGGGTAGAGGGAGAAAAGTCAGGATTATTATAGGCGGATTAACTAAGTATGAGGAAGAAATAATAATTTAGAGTATTATCAGCCCACAGAGTCAGACAAAGGCATGATCAATGCGCATGCACACCGTCATAGTATCCCCCACTGCGCTGCTAAGGGATGATGAAAACGAGAAAAATGAGTTGAAACCAGAGTATTCCCTGCATATTTGCCCTCAGAGTGAACTGTCATCTCGGGCAACTACTATGTGTAACCAAGAGGGAATTCTGAAGAAAAATGGTGCGTGACATGGCGTCTCATCAAAGCTAAAGAGGATGTTACAAATATGCGTAATTAATGACCACAAGTTGAAGAAGCACTCCAAATCCTTACATTTGCCAAATCATTCATTTCAAATTATCATTTGTTTTAAAAAGTCTCACAAAGATAATTAATAGTCATTATACAATTGTTTAAGTAATTGGTGTACAGCAGGAGTCTACAACTCCAGTAGCTTTCCACTAATGTCCCGGTCGCTCCCTTAAGGATTCAGTAAATTACTATGGAGACTGAAAATTCATTCATATTCATACATATCAATTTCAAAATATTATCTAGGGAACATAATTGGAAAGCCCTAGTAATAAGAATAATAAAGCACTGCATTTGTATAGCACCTTCCAAAAGTGCACTTTGCAATGTATTATTCATTCACTCCACACTTGGTGGTGTGCTACTACTGCAGCCAGAACTGCAGCCAGAACTGCCCTTCAGTATGTAAACAGACTAAAGCCAAGCTGCCACACTCAGCAAATGTATACTAAGCAATGAGAGTCATGCTTTTAGGTCCAACTGTGGCACATCGTAATAGCCGTCCTTCTAGTTCTAGCTGGATCCCGACTTGCTTAGCATCTGAGATCTACTTCTATCTTTATTAATAATCATTTTTTAATCATTTTTTTTACAAACAAGATTAACAGATTCTACAGTTCACCTGGATTTGAAGGCAAGGAAAGTTTATCTGTATAGCACAATTCATACACAAACGGCAGCTCGAAGTGCTGAACAAAACAAGATAGAGACAGTCAAACAAGGCTTTAAAATTATAAATAATCACAGTCCCAGTACATTAAAAAGAGCAAATAATAACGTTTTCAAAAAGGTTTAAATATAATTGAAACGTTTTGATTAAACTGTGTAGAAGCAATTTGCCGTCATTTACAATCAAATCAGAGGAAGAACATGTCTTTTTTCGTCTTGAAACATTAAAGAGATAACACAGAACTGTTGCGAGTATAGGTACATTTTTATTATTTGACGGTAGAATCGGTAATGTGAAGCCTGACTCACTCAGCAGCGCTCCTCCGTACAGCCGGACAGCGAGGCTGGTCGTGGACAGCTCCTCCTCCAACACCAGTTCATAGAGCTGGTTGGGAAACACCAGGGCCTGTGTGCGGCAACAAAACAACTCTGTCCAATCAAAAACAGCAGCCTCCTGTCCTCCCTGAATATCCTCAAAACAGTCATACAAAATACATCAGCTGAGACAAGTCTAGCCTTTTATGAGTGCCCAGAGTCAGTGAGGCCAAAACACTGGGGATATTCATCTTCATGGTTGTAGGGATTACAAAGAGACCATTGTATCTATTTTAGAGTCAGTGCTTACTATTACATTGTAAAGTTGTATAATTAGCCATTGAAAGATCAAGTTTTAGAGCCAAGTCTTTCTTTCTGTAGTGAATAAGAAAGACCTCAAATACTTCTAAAAGACATTGTGGACCTTTTGTTCCAGCAGTAATAACTATGTCATATGTGTCTTCTTTCTAATGTCTTTTTCCTTTATTGTAAGATTATTGTAAGGAGATATGGTTCCCAAATTCTTTTTTTACCCGTCACTATATTCCTCAAAGCAGTATTTTGATTCAACACAATTTGGACCTGCACTAGTATTGTGTTTCACACAACTCCTCAAGTACAATAAACTAGGAAAAAAAGAAACGCGTTTTCCATAACCTGAGAGAAGATGAAAAAAAGTGGTTGATTAAAATGAAAGTGCTCTCTGCTGTCTGGTACCTGAGTTGGTAGCAGCTGTACACAAATAAAAATACAACACCTTCTCCAGTGCTTGTCAGAATTCCTTTAGGGTCTACGAGCAGAAATACATTGGTCATCCGCCCCTTATGTGTTTTTTTAATCATTTTATTTCCTGTGTTTGATTCTCTAATCTGTTTTAATCAACAACTTTGTAAAGTCCTCCGAGATAACTGCTGTAGTGATTTAGGGCTTAACAAAAATAAATGTAATTTAATTTAATTGACAAGTAGAATCCTCTTTAAAGTCTCCATACAAAGGCTGAAATGGACAATTATTTTGATATGGATTAGCCAAAAACAAAGCCCAAGTGATCTCTCGAAAGAACATCTTTATAGAGACGAATTGTTACACAGTGGGTTGTTTGATTAAAGACACTTTGAAAACACGATTTCATTTCATTCTGCAGTCATTCTAGGATTATCGGAGTCATAAAACAGTGTGTTTTAGTCTATGTAAGAATCCAAAAACAATTGATCAATCACTAAATCATTGTTCCTGACCTTCTCCATACAACATCCCTCAAAATAAACTATATAATTAACATGTATTTATTAACAACATTGGTTATCCTTATGGACCAATGGCTTCATCATGTTTTTCTGGATTTCTTGTCTTCTAATTGTTTAATTATGTAAATCTCTTGTTGGCAAATTGACAATTTTGTACAGTCCACCGAGATGACTGCTGTTGTAATTTCAGGCTACACAAAAATACATAGAATCGAGTCTGCAGACATTTTTGCGAACGACATATTTACATCAATATTTTTTATAACCACCTCTCTATATTATCCTTATTATTTGAGAAGCCATTGACCTTTGGAACTGCAGCTGGAGAGAGGATGTAGTGCTTACCATCAGGGCCATAACCGTGAATCCAACAGCAGAGATAAGGATCCACGCCCTGTGAGGAAGACACACAGATTACAAATGCCTTTCCTGCTTCTGGTCGCACCGCTGTTTGCCTCACAAGATGTTGATCTCCACTGGATGTGCTACACTGACGACCTCCGCCAGTCTGTTCATTATGAGCTGTTGAATGTTCTCACCTCAGTCCGAGCGGCTCCCTCACTGCGAACTTGGTCTCGTTCCCAAGCATCTGACTGATCTGCGAGTGATGGAGAAGGGAAATAAATTACATGCCATTTGGAACGCTTTTTTAGAGAATTGATAGCCAACGCCACAGCGGCACACACTCCAGCCTCTGTGTATTCGGAAGATGTTTTCACCACGGTTTGTTTTTGCCTTTCTGTTGGCAACATTACTCAAAAAGTTATTTGTGGATTTGAACAAGATTTCCAGGAAACCTTGGTAAATGGGACAAGCAGCAAATGATTCGATTTTGGGGGTTATTTTGAATGAGAGGAATGAGACTGCACCTCTAACCTTAGTTGATGTAGGGTTTTCCGCAACGAGAAAATGACGGAGAGGACAGAAAAATCCAAAATGATTTGAGTTGGCCTCTCACAATCACTAATTTAGATGGACAATATTTTGATTCTGAAAATTATTGCCGATAAACAATGATAGACCGTTTATTTGTATAGAACAATTCATACACAAGGCAACTGGACACGAGACAAGATAACCTGGATTTAAACATTGTCAGATAAGAAGCCTGTTTCACATTTTCAGGAGGATGATAATGAAACTACTCAATGCCACCGATTTTAGTTCAACTAAAGCATGGTAAAGGATTTTATTTTTTTCCTATTTCTTTAATAAGCATGCCGAACAGCAGAAACATTTAGTCATGCCCAACCATCTACAGATACAACCTCATAGTTTTACATAAGAAATGAAATGTACAATAAATATTGAGACCCAAAATATATTGCTTTATCCATTCTTTCTTTACTTATCCCAGATGTGGAAGGGCCTGCCGCTACTGCCACTTTTTTATACTCCATCATGTTTTATTGTTTTTACTCCTCCACCCATCCATCCTTCTGCATGAATGGTGCTTTATAAATACATTTTCCTTGTCTTGCCTTGTCTCACACGCATCATTGCCGATTACTAAATATTGAGTGACCGCCATACAAATATTGAGCGATAGGTTGATATAGTAATTATTGTGACAGGCCCAGACGTGAACATTTTAAATACTTTAATACTCAGCTGAGAGTAAACATAAGTATACAAAATGACGATGGATCACCTCTAAAATCTAATCATTTGTCCTTTGTCCCATTTCCAAGTTTTCCTGTATAAATATGTATGATATAATATGAATCTTGTTTTTCAGTTTTCTGTTGCAAGGTTTTCCATTTATTGAGGCCATGACGAGGTTATGTCTCTGCATGGAATATTGATTTCAAATGTTGTGTATTCGTATTGTATTCATGTGTATTTAGTCTGACGCACAGATGATTGTTGGCTCTAGGCGCCATCATACCACAACAACAATCATGTCTTTTCAATTATTCCGTACTTGCAAACATGGACCGGTGTTTGCAACTATCAAAAGCGGAAAGCATAAAAACTACAAAGTCAAACCAGATTAATCCTTTCTAGCCAACATTTTACAAAGAGAAGACTGTCAATTGTAACACAGATTTTTGCATGACAAAGGCAGAGCAGACTCAATAGAGACAAGCCTATTCTTGTCAAATATTACAGAGATCAATATCTGGCCACCTCTGAGGCCTAACATTTTACCTCTGCTGATGCGTGGAATGAGTGATATTATGCAGTCGAGGGGAAAAAAAGTCAACTTGTCAAGTAAAGTTTATTTAAAAAGACTAAAACGTCTGGCGTTTTGCAAAGGAAACAGTCTCATTTCAACTCACTTAAAAGATTACCAGAATAATTTAGTGTTGAAATAGAAAATCTGATAAACCTCAGTACAAACATGAATAATTCTCAAAGTGTTAACATTCACGAAAAAGCCCTCCAAGCGTGGCCTAGTAGAAAAGTAATGCAGAATAATAAATGAAAGAATGCAAAATGTTTCACATCAGCACCAGCCTGGCCATCATCCATCCATCAGTCTGTCAGCTCGATGGAGTAAAAACCCTCAACAAACCATAACAAATGGAGAGAGGAAATGAATCCATCAACCAGGCGGGCAAGTCGTGTAATTCTGGCCTGTCATCTAACAATCCAAATACCATTTCATAATCTGAGACCCATGTAACCCTGTGAAAAAAACCCAAATCAAATTATAGCAGGGGCGGGTTTGCTTTCAGAGGAGATGGCCGATATACTCACACTTTATTTTCCCCAGCCCAACGTGTTACTTTGGCTGACATTGGAGTAAACTGCAAGAGAATCTATGACATATTGTATCACATCAGCCACGTATCAGTCCATGTCTTTTCCCCAGAGCGACAAAATGTTGCAAAACAGCATTCATTGTAAAACCGTATATGTATTAAGGTTAAGATTAAGAATATATTTGTCCCACGGTGGGAAAAATGCCAGTGTTGCATCACCAGTTACAGAAGAGTAGCAATGAGGAGCACACAGCACAAGATAAATGAAAAATAACTCTATACTAAAATTAAATTAAATCTCTAACTTTAGCATAATAAGGAAGTAAATCTAAAATCTCCATCTATAGCACAATGAAGCAAGAATTAAGTATAAAATCTTTCACTTTAGCATGATAAAGAATCAAGTGAGTATTAGCACAAGAATCTAATCGAAACTTGTTGTGAAGGGGTAAAAATATACAGCTACTGCTACTCTCACATTTTGCTGGATTGCTGAAATGCTTGACTGATTTCACACAACTTGAACTTTTCTTTAACAGCCAAAATTGGAGACATAGCAAATCGAAGAAAACGCTTGTTGGATAAATAGGAGAGGTGGAGGGCTTTTTCTTTCTTCGTAACACACACTCAAACAGGAGGTAGAGCGGAGAGAAGAAAAAAATACACTAGATAAAGTATTTGTGCTGAAAGCTGTTATCTCTGAGCCGTTGAATGGACAGGAAGACACGGTCACAGCATATCCTTCCTCTGTTTACTGGGGCTACAAGGACAACGCCATCTGTCCGCCAATCCAATTCTTTACTAAATGGAAACGCTAAAGGTTTTAAAATCTATTTTCTACAAAGATCTGTGCCAAAGATGCAGTAAGGCAGTGCCAGTGGCTTATTGTAAAAGAATAGGTTAACAATTAATATTATGAGCCAGCAATTCTTCAGGGTCAGTGAAAGAGACTGTGTAAACAAGATGCAAAGCACGACTGCAGGACAAAATTAAATGTGTCGTTAGAGTTCGCATATTTCCCAATCCAGAAAAAAATACTTTTGTTCTTTGTTAGTCTGACATCATCTATTATAGGGTAGGGGTGGGCGATATGGCCTAAAATTCATATTGCGGTATAATTTGGGACACAGACGGTAGACGGTATATATTGCGGTATAATTTGGTGTGAATTTCAATATAGGTCTAGCAGGTTCTTGCATAAAATAGTCAAGATTGTTACTTATTTATATATTAGAATCTAATATATATATTTTTTTAGTTATTCAGTGAGACGAATAAAGAGACAAATGTTGTAACATACATTATTTATGTATGTTACAGTAAATACCGTTCACTGTAAAAGCAATTTTTTAAAAGAAAAACATGTGCATTCATTTAGAATATAAAAAAACTCACAAATGTTGAAATCAAAGTCTGTAGGAGTTAGACATGGTCATTATTTATAGTGTCTGAGAGTTTTGTGCAGGTACATGACTTCAGTAAAAGCAATTGTTCGTTTACAAAGCTGGTCTTGCCATTTGTTGACGCTCCCTAAGCGCTTTTCTCTGCGCTTGCAGTGAACTGGATGATTAAATGAATTTATGTTCATTAAAACAGCGCATTGGATTTGAACAATTGATGTAAATGATCATTTTGGCACAATACATTTTGTTTAACAAAGTAGCTTTCGTGAGATATTGACCGCGGAGGTCCGAATCTGACGCCAACTTTCGCAAACTTCTGCTGTGATGCTGCGGACACGGCACACGCATGGATCTATTTTGGCTCACACTGGCGCTTCGAGCCTACGCCCCTTTGACACTGATTGGACAAAAGGTAGACGCTTAAACTGTGATTACTGTGTGTGTATTTACCTCTGCTGGGGCCGCTGTGACAACAATACATAGACAGAAACACGGTGTTAATGCCGTGCTGTTGTTCGTTGTTTCCAGTGGTGTCTGCTAGGCTAATAGTGCTAGGCTAATGCTGCTAGGCTCATGCGCTAGGCTAATGCTGCTGAATGCCGGTTTGTTTTGGTCCTTTCTGCTGGCGTCAGAGCCTGCACAATTTGATGACATAATGACCTATTGCAATATGCCGGTATAACAAAAATCTCTACAGTGGGCCAAATTTATATCGCATACCGCTTATACCGTTTATATCGCCCAGCCCTATTATAGGGTAACACAGGGTTTCCCAAAACTTTCCAGGGCCCGGGTCCCCGTAATGTGCATGAAACAAACTCTCAACCTCCACCGATCTACACAATTTATTAAGATTTGAAGATAATTGTAAAAAATTATATCCTGGACATCATCTTGTGACCCCCAGCCAGTAGCGTCCTTTGAACCCCATTTTGGGAACCACTGGGGGTAATATTCTCTCAATCTGAAACATTTAGATTCATATTTACAAAAGTATACATATAAATACAAAATATTGCCATTCTTGTAATACGTTGGAGGTTTCTGGAAAGGCTAGTACTGCACCAGTTGGAGTCCCCAGATCTAACAGCAAACAGTCAGCAGGTGGAGAAGGGAGTTGTCTTATGATCATAAACTAAACCAGCATCGTGTGTTTTCTGCCTTCCATTCTGTTCCCTCCTCTCACTCGTCTGATCAATATTTCAGTAGGGAACACTGTATTCTTTTCACATCTGAAAGCTAAAGTATTGGGCACATTACGTTAAAATGCAGGGTGTTAGCAAGTTGGTGACTACAGTTTGTGAGTAAAGAAGAGTGCATTTCATAGAGTGCAAACACATTTAAGTAAAGCTTTAACCAACAGACATATGGCAGAAAAAAAAAATCAGTGCAAGAGGTTACAGAAGAGCCAGCTACGTCCCAGTGGAACAGGAGAAGCTCAGGGGATTTGCTGATCTGGATTCAGTGATGCATGAGCAGCAAACACGCACAATGCCACAGTACCTGGGTAATGAGCCATTTAACAGTCCATTGTGGCTTTTAGACAATCTATATCACTTTTTGGGCTAATGAATCCCTCTGCGGCGGGGTGTCACCGAACCATGGACTGAATGATAATGGCTTTGCACTTGCATAGCAATAAAGTATTGTAGTTTGGTGTTGTACCCATTTGTACCCCGGCCATTTGTCCATAAGTATCAACATTAGGTTTTGAAGATATGTTTTATATTTTTATGACATAACTTTGATAATAACAAATGTTAAAGTTATTCAAAAATGAAAATATGGCTGCATACCAATTCTGGCGTCATGTCATCTTATCTTTAAATTGAATACTTTTTAACTTTTAACTTTTTTTAACTTTTAATATTTTGTAACCAGGTAAGTAGATATACAACCTGCACTATATGGTACAAAAAAATAAGATTCCTTCTAGTACAGCAAAGGTACCAACTATAACACAAATTATCCAGGGTTTTTGTACTTAAGACTTGCTTCTTCATCATGCTTAAGTTGGAGATTTTAGACTTTTTATGCTTCTTTTATTTTAGATTTTATTCTATTTCATTTTAATAATAAAGCATCGGTTTTATATAGCGCTATTTTGGACACTCAAAAACGTTTTATATGTCATAATTTTTATCTTAGTAAGGAATTATTATTCATTTATCTTGTGTGCTCCTCATTCCTTCTGTCTGTAACTTGTGATGCAACACTGAAATTTACCCACAGCGGGCCGAAATAAAAGGATCTCTTAACTATATTCCTCTGAAACCTGAACGCATGAATCATTGCTGGTTGAACTGCTTATCTACTGAAGCATGCTCCGTTCCAAACTTATGTCCAACTTGAGAACAAACCTTTGATCTGTGCACTTCCCCATCGTCGTCCTCTCCTCCGACTCCCAGGACCTTTCGACTCTTGAGGCGGCTGATCAGGTCTGTCTGACTGTGCTTCTTCATCAGAGGAGGGTGAGGTTTGGATGCCATTGCGCACACACCTAAAAACAACAGCAGAGCACAGGAGATGAGAGGGAGCGACGAGACTGACAGCGCCGCGGTATTTAGAGCTGCATCTTACAAAAGGAAGTATTTTTATCTCAAGAGCGGCATGGGAAATATAGCAGGGTGTTCAATATTTTAGGGATGTCAGACAGACGCAGTCAAGTAACACAAAACGTGTACAAAACATGCACATTTGGATATGATGAGATATCTTCATAGACGCCACACAGGCCTCAAAAGGTATGCAATGCAAGCTACAATGACCCCTCAACATATATAGAACGGGCTCTACAGACGATATTTATTCAGGAAACAGAACAAAGTGGATCATTATCTACATACACTGCAATTCCATATTGTTCGGAAAGGTATGAGACGACAGACAAACAGTTCAGTAGTGATAATATAGGGTTAAAAGTAAATGCCATGTGATGAGTCTAACACATGAAAGAAATTGAGGTCAAGAAGATCCATCGAGCCTCTTTTACAATCTGCAAAAAAATTCTGTGGAATTGTAAGACTTAGTCTGTGATGGAGAGGAGAACGTTAAAAAAAACTTCTCTCTATCCTGGACAACCACATCCACACTCTGTATGAGCGGTAATGAGGCAGAGGAGTTTCTCCAGTCAAAGGCTGCTCTCACTCTGCTGCTCCACTGACAGATTCAGGAAGTAATTTTAACCCCATGCCCTCTACTATTTCTAATTTGTAGCAGTTCATGGCCTTTTTATCTATTCATCTTTGCTTGCTTGAATATGTTCTGTAAACTGAATTCCCCCCAGAATCCTAAACATTGATTATTGTATGTATTGACATTGTTGTGATTTCACACTTGAAGTTTTCTCCACAACCAAAATTGGAGACATAGCAAATCGAAGAGAAAAACTTTTTGGATAAAAGTACCAGGGCTGGTTTCTTCTTAGAACTCACTCAAATAGGAGTTAGAAAAAAACAAAAACACAGCTCAAGTATTTGTGCTGAAAAGAGTCTTGTCTCTGAGCCGTCAAATGGACAGAAAGACAATCTATCTAAACACTGTATATTGTATGTAAACAATCCAATCTCCCAAACTCAATTGCAAATAAAATATCATTGCTTCAGAAGAAGCTGCAAAAGGTCAGCAGCGTCGTAGTCAAGCAGATGACTACAATGAATCAATTAGATCAGACACACATTATTGTCATTCCTGCAACGCAGCCCTCAAGGCTGAGGCCAACTTGAATGGAGTGATGTAGTTTCTGACTAAAAGTCTACTGTACACCTCATATCGATTCAGTCTCAGTAGAAATGAGCTGGTGTTGATGTTGACTGGTGCCGCCTGTAACCTTGGTAACACATACTTTCATGAGTCCTTCAACTGCATTATATCCACAACTTCTCCTTCCTCACATTATTGATTTTCTTGACCTCATCCAAGAACTGAAGGCTCCACTTTCATTGATGCCTGTTGATTTGTTTGTCAGGAAGGCAAAGCAGAAAGATGGTTGGACCTAGATGAAATCTTTAGTAAGGTTAATTTTGGGCCAAGGAAGACATAATTGATTCCTGGTGGGTATCAAAGCGCTGTTGGAAGCTTGGCAAAAGAAGCCTGAAGAAGCAATGTTCCAAATTACTAACTTCAACTAGAAGACTAATCCACATATGCCTCAGATATATAAAGGTATGAAACTAGGTCAGACCAATGAATAATTTCAAATCTAAAAATCAAATCGTTTTCATAGCTGTTTGGGCCAAAAAACTCCTGAAATTGAATTGATAATAATAATAATACACAGTGGTTTAGCCAAATATTATGTGAACCGCTGAGTTGAGTCTTACTGAATGCAAACATGAAACTATACTCCACTCATATACTATAGATTCAAGATGTCAAGAATTTATTTGCCATTTGCAGTAAAACCACATTGGAAAATCTGCGCAAGACTACCTCAATGTAGTGATAGATAGGGTTTAAAATGATGGATCAGAGAAACTGTAGATGACACATGGAAAAGAAAAAAATCCTGAAGATCTAATAGAGACAAATAAAACGCAAATCCATACATTTATTTATTTGTCATCACATCTCAATAATGATTAAAAATAAGTAAGTCATGTTTATTCATATAGCGCAACCATTAGAAGAATGAACTCTCTTTGATTATACAGTACAACAAATGTGCCGGGACCAGGTTTGGCTGCAGTGTAATGGTGGTTGGCTGTCACTTGTTGACAAAGAAGCCAGCCCTGTGTGGTCCAATTGATCAGGCTTAATGAATAGTGCCTGTGGATACAGAGGAACAAGTAACGACAAATGAAGAGTGAGCCGTCATCATTGACCCAGTGGTGACAGCGCCACACTGCTGCACCAACAAACTGTAAATATAGGCCAGAACACAAAGAACATGTGTGAGAAAATGTATGTTTTTCCAGCGAGAATATCTGTAGTGCAGGAGAACAATTATTGAGCTGCTCTGGTGAGGATAAAATACACTGCTGAAGGAAAAGCATGTATTTAGAGTGCTACATACTATTAGGAAATAAACATCCTGCTAAAAGCTGGAAAGGTGGTGCTATTTGATGGAAATTGGTCAGAGAACAAGCCCAGATGGCAGATTACCCAGTGGCCTTTACAATCATCTGGTAATATATTTGTAGTCTATGGAGCTACAAACGGCCACTCGGTCATCACCGTTAGTCCCAACACCTCTGACACTGGATGATCAATGAAAGAAGTAATTATTGTCCAATCTTCTACTACTAAACTGAGTTGCATTTAGAGATGGGACATTAAAACAATATTAGTGTTATAGTTGCGGAATACAAACAGTAAAGATTCATTTCAAACTAATTTACAATGCTGCTCTCATCTAAGTTATTGTTAGGGCTAATACAAATAAACTCAATATATCAACTAGAAAAGCCCCAAGGTGCAATTCCATTAAAGACAATCTTTTATACTTTCATTCATTTATTTTCAAGTTCACACAGGATTCAGTTGTTTGACTTCTCAAATACAGACCTTGAACTTATATAATTAAATAGATATATACTTTCATCTTCACCGCTATGAAGTAGAGTGGGAAGATGTCACCAGTTGTGGGAAGAAATGGAGTGGGAAGAAGTATGACTTATAAACTCCCAGTGCTGCCCCATCTACATACATACGCATTCACTTTTGCTGTCTGGTCAGTAACACAACTATGTCAACAACAACTACAAAAATCATAATTTGTATTGTTTAATATCATTACTATACATCCTCAATCTCATCACCATCACCATTTTTATGTTCTGTAAAGTCATAGAGACGTTATTATTATTATATACTACCAGGTACAGTTGAATTTGTTTCCTTCTTTGTGACAAAATGAACCACAGTAGCCAACTCGCACCAATAGGTCCGGCGCCCTCAGCTCCCACGGAAATTTGACGTGACCAGCGAACGCCACTGCCTCAGACAATCAGCACAGAGATCAGACAGACATCTTGAATCCAGACGGTGAAATAATCTTGCATCCAGACAGTTCAGACCGCATGTTTCCTGGTTCATATCAACCAGTCACTTTTTATGTTGTTCACAGACAAACAGACAAACGCTGGCCATTACTTTACCTCCCAGGCGAAGCTAATAATTGTTCAATCTCAAACAAACAGCTCTGTTATATGAATAATGTGTAGCACTTTAACTACCACTTGTTCACAGCAGTAGCAACTTTTTACACATACAGTATAAATCTTATAGACTGTTCTATCTAGACCTGGGATGTTCTTAGTGGGAGAGGCACCAAACTGAGTTAATTGAACAACTTGACTGGATTCTACGACTGCTGAAAGAACACAGAAAAGGCTCTGATCCTGACCCAAACAAAACACACTATAATGTCTTTTTCAAACATTTTATGAAAAGGTAACTGAATAAATTGCCAATTTTCTGCAACTTGCATTTCATGACTCGCGAGCAATTACAGTATGACCAGAGTCCACATTTCTTCACGTGTTTGCATTATATCGAAGCGATGTTGAAAGTTAACGACGTCCTAGTACAATAAAAGGCATGAGGCGTTATAGCCCTGTTTTAAAATCTATTCCTATTCCCTACTCAGAGGGCTTGTAAAATAACAACATCGTTTGTCGTTGGCAGTAATTGGTCTCGTAATTGTATATTTGCAATCGTAGAGGTCGGGCAATAAAGCAGGATATTGGCCAGGTCCACTGTGTCCATCAGACCACCAATAATGTGACGCAACCTCAACAGTTATTCATACTTTGTACTGGAGAGTGAATCCCACATCCTCAGCCTTGCATGGTTCTGGCAAGTCAAGAAGCTTTAGTGGGAAGATGCAGAGATGATGCAGTTACCTAGCAACTGCCAATAGACCAATCGCCTCTTTATTATCGAATCCCCTTAGATGACAGCTCTCGATTTACAATGTTCTTTTTCAGTAAAATCATTTCAACAATGGAAGATAAATGAAAGTTGTGGTTTTTTTGTGCAAGATAATGAAGCATGCAGTAATGTAAAGTGGAGAGACTGAAGAAAATATAATTTGAATATTGTGACCAAAAAAAAAAAGAAAAATTCACCATTAATATTTGGGTAAAGTGCAAAATTCTCTTGTATCATTATTGTTTAGATGAGGCTTTGGAAATATATTTAAGTTTAATTTGATGGTATTTTACTTAGAAAAGAATGCCTATTTTTGACCATATGACCCCAGTGTAGTATCGTCATAATCAAGTATTCATCCGTAAGATCAGCTGGAGAATATTGAGGTCTCAGTTGTCAAGGATTTGAATTAATTGCGTCCAATCAGGAATCTGTGGGGGAGGGTCGCACTGGTGCTTGCTTTCAAAAATCATCTCTCCATCTCCAATGTTTCACATTTATACAAAGGGTTCAGTCCAAACTCTTCTCTGGTTTCTTTACTGAGACTGAGCATGTCCTCGCTCTCTGCTAATGTTTGTACATCTCAGCATGTGTTGTAAACAGAAAATCAGAGCACGTACAAGAGTGTGGGCGAAGACAGGTTGTTCTACCTGAAGGCAGGAATCCAAACGCTCCACACAAGATGTACTTGACACAAGACCCAAGCAACACGGTTTGGTGACGCAACATGTGCAGGAAACGAAATCTGCTAAAAACAAGAGTCAATATTATTGTTGTTGATATAGTGTTAACATACAGTATACAGGGCTTCTAAAACTTGATTCAAAATGTTCAATAATCTAGACATAAACAAATCCCTGCTTGGCTTTTCCTTTGCAACAGTGTGTTACTCAAAATAAGACATCACAAGTCCCCTTTTCCATAAATAACACAACACAGATGTCCAATGGAGCTGCTAAATCCCCCTGTCGGCACCATGTTTAGACACCGACAGCAGATAGCATATAATAACACCTCTCCTCGCCAAACGGCCAGTGCATCTCTCCTGAATGAAAGTCCCTCTTCTGTGCCAACCCACTCACTACAATTGACCAACCATTACTAGCCACACAGCCTAATGTAATGGTATATGGATTTCTCATTCCTCTGGGAACATTGATGCTTTTAGAAGAGATAACTAAAGACAAGGACACACAGTTTTCACAGGGGAAATCCCAGGCACAAATACCAATCACCAACTCACCAGGGCCATACTGCCTTGGAGTGAAAACAACACTGTAGAAACGATAGCGCATATTAACTGAATCTTTTAAGTCATTCATTCATTCGGTTTTCATCTAACAAAACTGAACGACGCTGCAGTTTTTATGGCCTTTTAATTAATTCTGTTTTACCTATAATGAAAAAGACAATATTTCAGCTGCCAACGCTAGTATCTTGGCATGTGGCTCTTTATGAGTTTAATGTGAAAGAAAAACAGCCCTTTTGGAGGCTTCAATTCAGTTCAGATATCAGTCATGGTTGTGCTGCTTGGAGTTTATTTTCCCATCTCTAAATTCAACCGAAAGTTAAAACTGCTTAGGGGACCATTCAAACTGAAAATTCTCTGGCAATGCTCTTTGTCATTGGGAAATCTTTGCACAACCTAACAATGCTTTAAACTTATCCCAAACTTCCTCTCCTTGGACTTCATGATGCTGTTTATTGACCATTATTCTCTTATTAATCAGTCATAGAGTAGCCAAAATCTCGAAAGGCAATTGGTTGCAATCAGAGAAACAGGGGAGATATATTTTACTTATTTAGTTTTTTATAAAAACGTACAAAATTGGGTTTCATTTTGATTTGACTTGAAATGTAAAACTGATCCAAATTGTACTCCATGCTATACGTTGTGTACCTTATTTTCACATGGTGTGGGAATGATTGGGGGTATTTTAGGGAGGTATATTGTTATTGTGCCTCTGTAACCTTTAGATAAAGCAGACCCTGTCACAGCACTATTAATCTTTGGAGGAGATGGCTTTAAAGATACTTAATTTTTGAAAATGTTGGATGTGTTTGAGTGTTCGAAAAAAAGAAAAAGAAAAAAAGAGTTCTGTGTTCTAAAAAAGTCAATTTGCAAGTAAGTACTTTTTGACATATCTTGGACTGTCCCATCTCCTCCTCCATTTTGAAGAGATAAATGTGCAAAGTACAAACAAAATCATTAACTTTGAGAGAAAATGGAAAAAGCAATCCAGTGACCATTCAAGGATTACAGTGCTACGCATGAGATTAAAACTGGCAATCCATCTGGGGACAGCAGAGATGTGATGGTTGTGGCTTTGGAGTTTCCCCGTCTAATGCTCCCTTATTACATCATAAGACAGTGAGCAGAGGGAAATACAACCTCCCGTTGGCCGACATTCTCCAACTCTATTATATAACACATGCTTTCTGCAGTTACTTAAAATCACTGGAGGCTGGCAATTAGATTCAAAAGACACACAATCTCAGCAGAGTGACTAAGGCAAATCCCAGGTCATCCAACCAGAAAATATAGTACTGTAGTGCATGCAGGGACAATTTTGTCCCTGCATGCACTACAGTACTATATTTTCTTTCATTTCATTTAACCGATTAATTAGCCTTTATGAAAACTGATATGAAAAATGTCAATATCAAAATATCGAGGTAAGGATTGTGTGGGAGTTTCTTTTTCTTCGTAGGTTTTGTAGTTGATCCTAGTCAATGTGAGGAGCAGTGTAGAAGCAACACATTTCCAGAATAGACACACATTGATTTGAGCAGTCAGTATCTGCATTAATGCACTTATTTCGGAAACCGAAATTAAATATACAGGGACTGACTCAGTTTGGATCTAGGGCTAGATTATTTTTGAGCCTAATCTAAACTCCTCAGCCAGTTTTTCCCTTCCATAGGGTTTACCATGCAGGTATGCCACAAATAAAATTCCAGCACCATGCCCACAATATAGGGACTTTGTTACATACCCCAGCCGAACTTGTGCTTAGGCCCCTCAGTCAGCTCAACGACTTTAGAACACTGGGTGATTTTGAAAGTCAGAAGTTAGTTTGACTTTGACACATTCCCATCTTCCCCATGGTGAAAAGCCAACATGCCATTTGATCCCAGGCTTAAAAACCAGGTATGAAGAATTCAAACGCCTAGACCTGAGTGCTTGTGTCACACTTGAGAAAGAATCTCCATGTGCTTGTCTTTCCACAAAATTGGTGTTTGGTTGGTGGAAGACAGATACAGTTTTAAGCTGTACAACAACAGTCTATGTGGAGTTGTTTTGCTTCTGTGGGCTTCACTGGGCACTATGGATAATGACAGAATCAGCAGCACTGGAGTCCAGCTGAGTCCACTGACACCCCGCTGCGGTTCATTTATAACTGATGCCATTCGTCTTTTCGCTAAAAGGTCCTCAGTACCAAATGAAAACTTAATTTCTTGACTCGTCTGCACTACTCGCATCACCAAAGGAAACAGAATGCTGGCATAGGTCTGTCGTCATCTTCAGAAACCCATGAATTACTTGGCAAGTTAACAGTGTTAGAACCACTGGTGGTTGATTATGCCATCTGTTGGTTGGGGCACAAGCAGGGCGGAAAAAGACAGAGCAATGGCACTGCAGGAATAAGGCAGAAGGTGTAGGGCAAGCTGTGGTTTATTGCATTCATCATAGAAATCCACACTGAAATGCTAAATGCAGTGACGTGCGGTCGGGGGAGGGGGGGGGGCAGTCATGGAAAGAAAAAAAAGAATAAAAGAAAGAAGCAGTACAAACTTGGCCACTTTACCAAGTGATTTGTGCTATTGTATTCTTTCAATGTAACTTTGCCTTTTTTCATATATTTTTAACTCAAAATTTCAGATTTCTGTCATTATTTTCTTATGTTAGACAGTTCAAACACATTTCCTTCACAAACAACAACTCTAAACTGTGTTAAACTGTGTTTTTAAAACAAATATGGGTCTTTATAACGCTCAATTATAGCTTGAAACGATCGTGAGCCCAGGATTTGACTGCATCCGATTCCACCAGAAAGCCTCCTTGCTTGTTTTTCCTCTGCTGAGGGATGCTACAGGTTTGGCAAAGTCAGTTGCAGACCGCTAGCGAAGCAAGAGAGGAGACACCATAGACCCCCATTTGTTTTTACTTTTTATATCTCAACTGGATTTATTTCCAAATGGAGGATTACATTTCAAAGTTCAAACTATTATCTGGACTTAACAATAAACATGCAACACTTCAGTTCAGACCAGTTTAATTTTGCAGTGTTTTTTACATACTTTGTAGCAAACAATGCGGACATGAAACATATCTTGCTGTTGCCAAATAAATTGTGAATAAGCCGCTCTCTGGGTCCTATTGATATAAGTGTAAATCTGATTGGGAGGAAGTCAATGCTTCAGCACGTCACTGTCCAAATACAATAACTATCTACGGAGACATTGGGAAGTAAAGCTGGACAGACAACAGCTGACCACACACGCAGCGTGCACCATTACTAAAGGACAGACAGCTGAGCTTTCCTTTAAGGGAACACAACCATCTGTAAAAGAATCAGTGGTTTCCTCTTGACAGGCTCAACACCAATTCTAAGTAATAGACATTCAAAAATCTCAATGGGATTTCTCTGGTTATATAAACGTTAAATTAAATTAAAAAAATTACCTGATAGATACATTTAATTGGGTACTTTACTTGTGTAAAATCAGATTGAACAAATAAAAAGAAAAACATTTAAATCTTAAGAAATTTCATTTGAGCTCAAATAATAACAAATATTGGCCATGCAGGAAATACTTCCTGTTGGATAAATAATAATTTATTTGATCAGGACACAACACATTCATGAACAATCATATACAAGTTGTACACACTTGTGCCAGATAAGAGCAAAACTGCAAAGTTACTTCGGTCCATCATCTTTTGCAAAATATAGTTTGTTGAAACAAAATGAAAAATAAGTAAGGTAGCGCAATTTTACAGACCAAGGTCACCCAAAGCGCTTTACAAATGTTAAAGAGTTCAGATAGTTATTCAATTTTCTCCACACACGGTGATGACGGAAGCAAGTCACCGAACACACTGGCACATCAAAGCCCCAACAACACCATTCATTCACTCACTCACTCAATACAGTCATACCTAATGTACATGTTTTTTTTAGAGGTAGGGGAAACCGGAGCACCCGGAGGACACCTACGCAGACAAGGGGAGAACATGCAAACTCCACTTAGAAAGGCCCTGTTCCGACCAGGATTCGAACCCAGGACCTTCTTGCTGAGAAGTGAGAGTGCCCATGTGAATCAATCGTGAGAATACCAATGTGATGGGTCAGAAGTTTGGCTCAAGCCATCGGAGCACATTTATTTTACTACAAATGTACACAATTGGATTTCTTCGACTCTTTATTTACTTATGCATCTGTGTTTTCGTTAGGTACTTTACAATTATTTTGTATTTTGTTTGTAATAATTTTCCCATTGAGCACTAATTGAGAGGATTTAAGTGTGTATCACATAGATTGAATGTAAAAATATGTAACACAGCATGTCATGATTTCGAGGTGACACCAGGAAGAATAGCCGCTGCACCTCACTGGCTAATAAACTAAACTCTTAGGGGTTACATTGATAATGATTTTCTAAAAACACACACCAGTTTACTTCACAAGTCTCATTTTGGCCCAAGAGGCAGAGGTCTATGAGAGACTGATGTCACCAAACAATACATGTGCCTAAATTATACATTTTAATTACATTTTTGAATCTGTCCTTTTTCAGATTCAGAGTCATTTATTTGCCATTTGCAGTAAAAAAAACCACATTGGAATACATTAGCAAAAAGTTTCCAGTGTGCACAGACAAATACAGACATAAAACAACATTAAAAGACAAAAATAAAACAAACAACACTAAAACAGTTTCAAAACAAGTGCAAATTTTTGTGGTTTGCTGTCCCAATAATGTCAGCGGATATCACTTTTATTCCGATTGGTTTGTGCCATAATTTTAGTCATCACATGGCTTCTAAATTGGCATGCATTATTGTTGTACTCATTGGGCTTCAGACTAATTCAAATGACTCAAATGCACTATGCAGTGATTTACACAAGGTTCAAATTCAACAAAAATAACACTTGTTGTCAGGGCAACCTGTTCACAAAGACACGTTAATGGTGTAAGGCGTAAATGGACAGATCTCTGACCCCAGTTACCCTCCACAAGAATCTTAAGTTCCACTGCTATAATTATTCCATTGCTTCAAAATAACAGCACATTTAAAATAATCAAAGACATCTGATATGTTTTTTGTTAAAAACAGATTGTTCTGGTGCCAGGAAATCTAAGTTTAATTTGATCATCTTGAAATTCTAAAAGTGCATTCAGAACACCAACTGATTTATCATTTAAATATTGTGAAAATCCACAGCAACTTAAAAAATGTTCTGTTTGTTCTATTATAAATAGAATTATCTTTAATTGCTGGTGATATTGACCGTTTGATTCCCTTAGCGCACATACTCGGGCATAGATATAAATATTCTAGAAGGTTTTGTAGTGCCAGAACATGCAAATGACAAAACAGAAGTAGCTAATTATACTTTCGGCTTCACACTACTTCTTACTTGGAAAGACTAGTTCAACTTATGTGCCATTGCAACCCTAAGGCCATACTTAGACATGGAGGGGGCCTCTCTCGTGTACGAGTCAGTGTCTGCTCACAAACACTTGTTTATACTTTTGCAGTGCCATCAACACACCTGCAAACTCACCCAGTGCAGTAGGTGACGCCTAAAAAACATCTGAAAATTTTTACATTTATAAAAGCATTTCCTGCATACATACAGTGATGTGCAAGTGCTTCAACAGGATTTAAGTTTGGTTTTGTAGTATTCTAAAAAAAAAATTCCAGCAATTTGTTAATTTTCAGAGCATAGCCTAGTATTTTATAGTAACTTCTAACCTCTGAGGCTCTAACTCCTAATCCCCAAGTATGTTTTACAGTAGATCTACAAGATTCATATAAATGACCCTCTTGGAAAAAAAAACTACTAAAAGTGACACGTTTACAGGTATGCATGAAAAGAGGGGGAAATAAGACATTTGCATGATGTATGTATGGAGTATAAAAAAGGTTCTGCAGCTTAACAGAAGGATCTTCTGATGGAAAAAAAGACAATACAAAGCTCAACAATGGGCCGCAACTTCCTCCTCTTTGGACCTCCTCCGCTGAGACACCTGGTTGCTAGGCAGCCCTAATGACGACCGGCTCTGATTTAAGTTTGATCTGCGTCAGCGAGGATCTCTTCGTGTGGAATGAATTACCTGGTAAAGGTCAAAAAGAGACCCTTAAATAAGCAACAAGTTGTCATTTATACAGTAGGCTCCACCTTTTGAATGCGAGTGTATCTTGAACTCCTGAACAGAGATTATAAAAGTGTCTTTGGACACAGCTCTACCACACATTTTAACAATTGAAGATTAATCTGCTAAACGTGGAAAACAATATAACAAAGAACTTTAATGTCTTCAATATTATGTATTGGAAAAGACACAGTACCCAATTTCCTATTCCTTAGATCCATGGAAGCGCTCAAATCAATGCTCCTCATCAGTAAGCCAGGCACAGCAGGTCCATGCATAGACTGCTCTACTTCACATTCTGACTGTCTGTTTGATGGTCAGACCAGTGAGAAAATAAAAGTGTTGCAATTAGAAAATACAATACATTGAATTTCTATTTTCCTAAATATCATAGCATGACTCAGTCCTCTCCCTGAAATCCAAGACCCATCCCTAGCAAGAGTTTGAATAGATTCTTACCCAGAAAAAACAATGACAAATGTCCCCATAATTCATTTCAGATGTTCTCTTCTTCACCAAAGCATGCAGCCTCCTGCAAGTCCCCTATATACAAAGAAATGTTTGTTTAATCCAAGCCTCCTTTGAATCACAATTTATGACATTTCTAATAAGCCTTTTTGGATTTGCTAAATCTCCAACAGATTCTGTGTTTACACGCCGTTAAGGCTTCTAGGAAATCCATTTCAACCCAAAGGCACAATCCTTAACCAAGAAATCATTATCTATATAGCACATTTCACGTACTCAAACAAAGAACATTAACATTTTATGTATTTTCCCTTCACTCCACACACAGCAGAAATGGGCTTGTATGAGCTTTTCTTAATTGTTTTTTCTTGTAAAATATTTATTAAGTTACGAATGATGATAAAAGTAATTCATTTTATTTAGGCACCCAAGGATGCCTTACAATGGATTAAAAACATCACACTCAAAAATACAGAAAGAAATACATTTAAAATATGAAATAAGCGAATTATCAGATGTGCCGCTCACTGGCACTGCACCAAATATCAAAATATAAATTGTCACTGCAATAACGGCAATTGCAATATCCATATCACAAATCCATGCTGCATTGTTGAAGGATATTGGCTTCAGGGGAGGAAAAAAGAAAGAAAGATAGTCTAAGGAAAACAAAAAACAGGAGGGCTCACTCTACGTTGACACAAAAAAACATCCTTGTTGGTAAAGTCTTACGCTGGTGATCATTCCCAAATCTTTATTTTCTTTTCAAAATCAATTCATTTATCTAGCATGTATGGGCTTATCCACACCTGTCGTTACAAATGTTCCCTCAAATTTTTCATGGATCTAAGCAAAAACACAAACTTCCTCTTGGCTTGAGAGAGTGATCTCTGTCTGAAACCGTTCACATATCGATACATCTGCTGCAATCCCATTTATTTAGGTTACTTCAGCTACAATATTCACCTGATCATGATGAATCCTGATTCGAAAGCCAAATCTTTTATAGATGGTGAGTTAGATTAGGAAGTAGATTTTAGGAACATACAGTATTTGGGGAGTTGTTCAAAAAAACAAAATATTCAAAGGGAATTTAGACTACTCACCTTTATAACATTAGATTATAACTAATTAGATTTGATATTAATGCAATGTATACATATTTTTATTTTCTCAAATGGCATTATAAAACTATAATTATTATTACCAACTTACTCGTCAATATGCAACTGTGCTGAACTGAAGGGGGCGCGGGTCAGACCAACAAATTTACTTCTATCAGTGACTAGATCATTTCCAACAACAAAACCATAGCAATATGATGGAGAGGGAGGGACCTAACCAGGAATCTCTTGTCCATCAGTCCTCAGACGTGTGTATGTAAGTGTGCGTGCTTGCGCGTAGGCAGACACGGGGAGAACATGCAAACTCCACACGGGGAGAACATGCAAACTCCACTCAGAAAGGCCCTGGTCCGGCCGGGATTCGAACCCAGGGCCTTCTTGCTGAGAGGCGAGAGTGCTATCCACTCAGCCACCGTGCCGCACGCAGGAAAACAGAGTCCGCAGTGGGAGTCTGCCCATAGGGCAGCGTGACGTTGGTCCTTGATCTGGACCAAACTCTCAAACCCAGCTTCAGACTTTTGTTTTGGGCAGGCACGTTGCGAAAATATCGAAATATACATTGTTATCACAGTCATTGACAACAATATTGCATATTTCGGTTTTATCCAATAAAGTGCAGCCTCACATTCAGAATGGTTCAGTGTACCTTGGTGCTGCCCCTTGGCATCAAGAGTAGGCCTAAACGTAGCCTAAATGTTGACTGTATTGATGTCAACCTTTTCAAAGTCTATTGCAAAATAATGTCAATGATTTAAAAAAAATCTGCGGTGAATATCTAATTCTGTGTTATTCCACAACTTTCTACTTCTGGAAATATCCAAATCCTACCGCATGCGTCACTCTTCTTGGGATAGGAGAATGTCGCCTCCTGCAAGACGTGAGTTCACCCACGCATCTTGCTAATCAGGTTTCCAGTGAGCGCAACAAATGCCATGAGGGCTCAGCTGAGTTTACACAGAAACAAATGCGATTCAACCTTCGCCAGAGGCAGACCAATCCCTGAACAGGACATAGCATGGCTAATGTCCAGCTCCACAGGCAGACCACTAATCAGCAAAACCTTTGTTGTCTAATAGTCCCTTGAGCCTAGTTTTCAGTCATTCGTGTAGAATATTACTGAGATTTATGTTTTAAGATTTACAGAGAAATATAATCTTGTTTTACTGGAATCTTCAGTCGGTTAAACACAAACTGTACTGGCTCACTAATGTTTGTACTTCAATAATCCTGGGGAAATTCAAAAAGTAATTGAAAAGCATAATAAACACACGTTTTTCTACAAGGGCTTCTCATGAAAATGCCAACTGATTGAGCGGGAGTCTGGTAACAATATGTGTTTCAAGTAATGGAGCAGCAGACTCAAAGTGGCTTTACAAAGAAAACCTTTGTCAAACAGCTGCAGAAGCTTTGGAAAGAGGTCACACACACAACGTCTGCTGCTCAAAAGGTCTCTCAATTTCAACATGAAGTTCTGACTGTGTGAAAGTGCATGAGATTAATGTACTAAAACTTGTAACTTGTAAAGCAACAAAACCTGTCGTAACAGTCAGCCTACTTAAGTTGCATCCATGAGAAAAAGTATATTTAATGTTTACATCCTGGAATAGAGTGATTTTTATGTTTTGGTCTTCTTTTGCACTGTGAAACATTGACAGATCTGCTAGTGGATCCTTGTGTTTTGGACAATTGTAAAAAAAAAAAAAAAAAATCCGTCTGGGTTATACTATTAATTACATTTCAAGAATGTCATTTCTGATTTACCTCTTTTTAACATCAGTCAAAAATTATACAAAATACAAATACAAACAAGTTTATCTACATAAGATGTATTATGGAAACATGTTATATACAAATTAATTGAAAACTGATCAGTCAATTATTTGAGGGAGAAAATAGAGAACGCATGTGCAAGAGGGGAAATCTCAACCCTCCTAATCTCAACTTGTTTGATGCCAGGTTTGGATTTATGTTGATTCCTAAATGCAGCCAAATTCATGTGTGAATGAACAGTGTGGTTGACATTAATCAACAAATATAATGCATTTTAGAAGAACAACAAGCAGTGGCAACATTAGAGCTTGAGTCATGAGAGAGTGATCTTAAGGGGCTGCTGTGACCAGGTGTGTGCTTTGTGTTAATTTCCGTCCATCCTCTGTCACACTTGGATGGATTATGCTTGTTAGAAGTCTTTTCTCGAATGTTTATACTATACTTGGTTTTGAGTGCAGTGAAAAAGAAGCACTCATTCACTCCTTATCGCCTCCATCACAACAGGAAGTCACTAAAAGGTCAATGTTCCAAAAAGGAGAAATGTGTAATGTAGTGTATGGTTAGGAATATGGTAAATCGTAGACACTGGGATCTGGTATTGGGCAGCACATACAGTATCTTAACATGTTTAAGGCAGCATTAACCTGATCATGAGCAAATGTCAAAGTTGAGGAGAAAATATTACAATAATGTAGTAAGGAGAAAATACAGCCAAACACAGCCAAGTAAAGTAAATACATTATCAGTAGTCTCACGGTTGCTAAAAAATTACATTATTACAGCTAAGGCTGGGCAATATGGCAAAAAAAAAAAAATATATATATTTTTTCACACCAAATCCGATTTTTTTAATTATTTTTTTTTCTATTTAAAAACAAATTACAACTGACAAAGAACTAGATTTTCCTTTATGCAGTTTAATCTAAATTTCCCAAGCCAAGTTCACGGGGACCGGGAGATTAGCTGAACTCGCCTATATTTGGGCATCGTCTGGTCCTCCCGGTTCTGCGCAGTGGATTATCTCCCATGATGCGTCGCGCCAAATGCGCGTGTGTGGAGCAGAGTTTGTGGAACTAAAGTGTGGATTTCAAGAAAACCAAAGGATTTAAGAAGAAAAAAAGTTCAGGATGACAAGGGACACAATCCCCACAAAATCCGATCTTTATGAAAGCTGTAGGTTCTCTGTCAGCTGAGGTCGAGCTGTTTTAATTTACATTGAGTTCTATGGGACTTTTTTCTGGGTAGCCCTCGTGAATTTAGTCTGCAGTACCACGGGCGCCCCTGTGCCCATGGGTGGGAAAGCTGTAAGCTAGTAATACCCTATCCAGTTATTATTATACAGTAGATCCATGAAATTTCCCCATGGAGCATTTGTGTAACAGAAAATAAGCCTTAAAACATGCTTGTAAACGAGATGGCCCTGCCATTGTAAACAGTGAAAATGTAGCTTATCAGTTTTCTAATAACCTCACTTACAGTGGAGGATCAGTGAGGGGCTGGTGTTAAGTGTACTGAGTGCAGCTCTGACTGCCATCCCCCCGACCCAGAAATGGATTAAGGGGAAGAAAATGGATGGATGGATGGATGATTACTCTAAAGTGCAGCGGCTCAGTGGGCGTAACAAGCGTGAGCGTTGAGAAATGAATGAATGAGAATGAAAGAATGAAAAGTGTGACGTACAAGCAGGGCGACCGGAGCCAGGCAGGATATACCTGTAAGCATGTGTTGGTGTGTGTTTGTGTGTGTGTTGGTGTGTTCTGGCGATTAAATAAAGGCTGATTCTTTAATGTCTCAAGTGTTATTGCTACAGCACCACTCTGTGAGAGCGAGGGTCAGGACAGAAGGGAGACGGTTAGCATTAGGGAGCTTTCAAAATGACTCGACACCCGCGGTTAGCGTGTTAGCACTGTAGCTCTGCGCTGGAGAAAAAAAAAAAAATTTGATTTTCATTAAAAAGAAATTGCCCTAAAGGTCAAATTCAACTTAGTAATTCAAATCAATTTCTCGCCCAGCCCTAATTATAGCCTATAAATAGGAACCTTGATAAAACTATTCCATTGTTCATTTGATTAAAAAAGAGAAATGCAACAAAAATTTCGAGGTTGAGGGAAAACTAAAAAGACAGA